AATAGAGATTCTCCCCAAGCACATACAGAGCAGCATCCAGGACAACAGACAATAGGATGGGACAGCAAGCAAGAACACTGAGGCCACAATCAGATATCCACAACAAGCCCACTCTTGGTCTGGGGCCATGTTCCCCCAGCTCTGAGCTTCTCGAGCCAGGCTCAGTCCAGTAGCAGCCACTGCGCGTGCAGGCATCCATCTGGGCCCTTTGCAAGTTGCTTCCATGGGACTCAGGGACCCAAGGAACTGACAAGCAAACAAGAATTACTGGCTACTGCCAGCACCTTGGGTGATCCAGTTTGTCTATGGTACAGGACTGCTTTGCTGGTACCTGGGAACCTTAGCTTGTGAGTGAGATCAGCTGTCATTCTATAGATGTTTTTAGTTCTTAGACTCTATCATAGGAATAGATTTAAAATCTTTGTCAGCTGTAGCATGTGAAGGACCTTTGAGACCTCTGCGGTGACTGCTCTTCCCACCCCACCCGACATGCGTCATGCTTTCTTATCCCTTGCATGTCTGCTGGAAGTGGGATATTTCCCAACATCTTTGCTGCCGAGACAGCTCTTGGGTCTGTTTTGCTTGTTTTTGTCGTGTTTTGTGTTGTTTTGTTTCACTTTGCAGGAGTCCGGGTTTGTTTCTCAGCACAGCCCCTGTGCTGCAGATTCAGGTTGAGCCAAGGGTTGGTCAAAAGTTATGTGTTCATATACCTCAAGCCATTAAGCCAACCAACTAAGACCTGGTGGATCTTAGCGCTTTGGGGAGGTACATTCAAATTTTGGGTTATTTTTCAGCTTGTCCTTGTTTGTGCTTTCTGCAAATCACTCATACTTACTCGTTTTACAAGTACGTACACACACACACACACACACACACACACACACACACACACACACACGATTCCTTTGGCCAGGGGCATTTTTGGTCCCTGGAGCATACCCATGGCTCCCACTTACTCTGGATGTGTGGAGGGTTATCAGGCCTTCTCACCACTCGCACCCAGGAAAAAATCTTGTTCCCCAGCAAGTCTACCACACGTCACTAGCCCTTCCTGTCCCCCACTTCCAGGTTGCCAGTATCACTGAAGATACTTTACATTACATGCCCACACTATCACAGCCACACAGCTTTTAAAACCCCCACGCTGGCCTGGGGGGCCAGCAGCAGACCAGGGCAGTGCCATGGAGTCTGTTTCCTGGAAATGCAGTCATTTCCATGAAAATGAGCCTCTGAGCTCATTGTGTGCCTTTGGTTGGTTTCCAGTCTTTGCTAATTTTTTTTTTCTGGCTTTGTATTTGCTTTTTGGAAGGAAGACGTATCCACAGCCTCAAACCTTCATGTCCAAAGTCCAGCATCCCAGCTGTTCCACCTTGCCTGTGATTGTAACGTGAGGCCTGTTTGGGCTCCCGTGGTCACACAGGTGTCTCAGCCATCTCAGCGGCTCAGCCCAGACGTGGGGCTGCAGCAGCAGAACTAAGCTAGGAAGGAACTCGGCGTCAGGGGGAGCTGTGTTGGGAGTGTGCCTTCCCCATGGATAATTCAAAATGTGTCTGTCATGATCCAGCTTTATTTACACTTTCACCCAGATAATTAGGCAACGCGTTTTCTTTGCAGATGGCGTGCCAACTTACAATGTAATGTGTATATACGGTGTATCTGTTGAAGAAGATTAAAATGCTGCCTTAGATGAGGTTCTAGAAACATCCATCTCTGTTGCAGTCACATTTCTTCCTGAATTTTCTGCTATTTTATAAATTAAATAAGTACATATTGATTGGTTGTTTATAGTCTACAGTGGCACCATGGGTGAATCTGTAATGAAACCTTGCATGTTTTGCCCCCAGGAGCAAAATGTGACTGACAGGGCCTGAATACAAGGGAGTGCGGCTGCTGCCAGAACAGCACAGATGAGTGCTGGAGGAGTTGGTGGGGCATTTGCGTGCCCCCCTCTGCCCTCCCTCTGTCACTGCCTTTCTGCTGGAGTACTGTGCTGTTTACCTGTTCAGGCTGTGACTAAAGCAGCGTGTTCCCGTGCACATTCCTTGTTTAATACTCATCTCATTCCTGTCAGCCTGGGACCTGGAGAGGGAGCGTCACTCTGTGTAGTGTGTAGACTAGGAGACACGGCAAAGACAGAGGGACTTGCCAGCCTGACTTTGGAGGAAGCAGCCGAGCCTTGTTTTGAACGTAGGCCTTTGTACTAGAAACCCTGGGCTCTTTCAGATATGCTTGTTGCCTCCCTGGTAGCAGACTGCTTCCTCTTCTTCCTGCAGTGTGGAAAGTCAGATCAGATTTGGAGCAGCTTAATGCACTTCTAGACAGACAGAAAAATAGCAAAGCAAGGTGGTGTGGGGGCGCCTCCTGGACCCGCCTCACTGGGAGGGTTTCTGACCACTTAGATCCCCAATTCCAACTGCTTGCTACACGTTTCTTCCATAGGTGCAAGGTAGTTAGCTTAGATGACTTCTGCATGTCCTTTCTGGTCTCCCACTATCACCTTTAATAGTCTCCTCCGTTAATGGTGCTTCCAACCACGCAGGCTCCTGAGCCTGAAGCTTCCAAGTTGTTGGTTCTTTCCTAACCTTCATCCCACCGTCTACTGCTGTCATTTCCACCCTGTCACCATAGAGTTACTGTGTGAATAAACAAAGGTACTGTGCAGGAAAATGCAGCTCTGGGGGCTGCGAGTGAGCAGGGCTTGTTTCCTCTGAGACACGGGCAGCAAGCTCCAGGTCGCAGAGGCCTTTCAGGTGGAACGGTTTTATGCTCCTGACCTTTGTTCTAGAGACGTGTGTACTTTGCACCTGGATTGAAACTTAAGAATCTGACATTTCAGTAGCAGCCGGTTCTCAGCAACATCACTTGGACAGGGTGGGGAGAGGGGCTGGGAGGGAATAAGTAACAGCTCATGACCATAAGCAGCACAGCCAGGGCTGGAGCCGGAGTTGACAGCGTCCTGGCGGCTGCAGCCAGAGGCCCCCCGAGGGTTTTGGTACCTTTTGTTAGCAGTGAGCTAGGGCAAGTGCCGGAGGGCTTCTGTATGTCAGTCACTTCCCAGTGGGAGAGAGGGACAGTGCCGGTTTCCTAGAGCTGCTCTGAGGATCAGACGATGCCAAGAGATTACGGGCCTGGTGAAAAAAAAACAGTTGGGAAATATCCACTGTTGGCCTACTCTCCCCTTGCCCACCCTCTCGGACCCTGCAGGTGGACCTTCTCTTGCTGTGTCCAGGTGGGAAAATCAGTGACATCCGGCACAGTCAGACCACAACGCTTGAAGATTTTCTTGCACTCTATTTAGACATTTCCAGCAAATTGTTGCCATACCACTTCATTCAGCGTAGGTTCTGCAGTTTTCATCTTGCTCTCTTGTTCCTGCCAGTCTTCCCCGTTAAGGTTAGGACACAGTGTTCTAACAAATTCCTGGAGTCTAAAGTGGTGAGATTAGGAGTGGGAGTTCGGCCTCGTATTCAAGGTGCTGATGGAGACGTCACCTTGGTATCGCTTCTCGGCCTTTTGGTGAAGATCAAGTGAGATGTCACCTTCCTGCTAATGCAGACCTGGGGAAGCAGCAGTTGAGCAGCTCCAGTGAGTTAGAGCCTCTTCCACCCCACCTGTGTAGACGGGAATGGACCTTCTGGCCCCTGGCTCTAGCCCAGCCAGTCCCAGCCGTGGCAGGCATCTGGGGAGTGAACCACTCTGAGGTTCTCTGCACTTCTCTAATAGCAAAAAATTAAGTTTATGAACAATCAAAAGTGTGAGATGAAACAGGTTTTTCTGACCATCATGTGAATTCTGGTTCATTGTGAGGAATGTAATACATTTTGAAAATCAGCTGTCCCACGGTGGGTGGGTTTTACTTTGGGAGGTCAGGTTAAACTGGGCTGGGGGCCGTTACTTGACACAGTGGTTGAAGTTCCACTCAGGATGCCCACAGCCCCGTGTCCAGTGTGACTCAGCTTTCTGCTAGCACACATCCCGGGAGGCAGTGGTTGATGGCTCAAGAATCTCCCACCCATGTGGGAAACAGAGTTCTGGGCTCCTGCCTGGCCAAGTGCAAATTGATACAGGCATTTTGGAAATGAGCCTGTAGATGGAAGATCTCCTCTCTCTCCAACCACTGCCTCTCTTTGTACCTTTCAAATAAAAAATAATTTGTCAGAAGTTACCTGGAGCTACGGGTGTCTAGCTTTACAACAGACACTGAGCCATCAGAACCCTCAGCGTGGGGCTGTGTGACCTCCCATGAGGTTCCTGAGGTCTGCAGATCATTTTCCCATGCTCTTCAGAGAGGGTTGTAACAGATAGACCTGTTAATGCTGTGGCTTTAGAATCCTGGATTTGGGATTTTACACTGTCCAAGTTCAGTGCACTGACAAGAAGGGGAAGGTAGTATGACTTCGCAACACGAAGGTATTGCCAGATAGAGAGAGAGGGTTTCCTGTAAAGATGAAAGCTGAAGATGTGGTCTCAGACCGTGAGGTCATCGCCCTGAATCTCTGCTGACTGCCAGGGGACTTGTCCAAACCACACAGAAGTGCAAGACTAGCAGAGAGCATTGCTGTCTCGTATATGCCAGTTATAGATGCAGAGTTGGACAGATAGCACTGCTTTCAAAACTCAGAAAGTGGCCTGGGAACTGCCGTGTCCTGTGAGATGTTTCATTCTCACCCGTCACCTCCTTGCCCATGGCCATTGTAGTGACCAGAAAGCCCGCTTGCTCTACAGCCATGTGTCTTGAATAGTCCCTGTTAGTGCCAGTAGTGACCTTTGCATGTTAGCCTTCAGTTTAATGACCTTTTTTATGTTCATTCATCTTATTTTGTTTCCCATCGTGGTTTTGTTTATTTCTTTTTTTGTGTTTTGTTTTTTCTGTTCTCTTTTAAAAAAAAAAAAACGTCGTGGTTTGCCCTTCATGTTCCCCAATGTTTGCACATGACAAGATGTTGCCATCCCAACATTACCTCCCACTTCACTGACCAGTGCCACTACTGACCATCTAGCACCAGCTACAACGGGACCACTGCCCTCAGCTCCTCGGGATGTCGTGGCCTCCCTGGTCTCGACCCGCTTCATCAAGCTAACGTGGCGGACGCCCGCATCAGACCCTCAAGGAGACAGCCTCACCTACTCTGTGTTCTACACCAAGGAAGGGACTGCCAGGTAAGTAGCCGTGTGCCTGAGCTCGGGTGGCTGCACCGTGATCACCCCTCCACCATACCTCCAGCCAGGCGCTGTGCCTGGGGTCGGATGGCCGCACCAGGGGTCCCCTCCACCACACCTCCAGCCAGGTGCTGTCTGCCTGGGGTCGGGTGCCTGCACCTTGGTCAGCCCTCCATCGCACCTCCAGCCAGGCGCTGTGTGCCTGAGCTCGGGTTCCTGCACCTTGGGCACCCCTCCACCACACCTCCTGCCAGGCGCTGTGTGCCTGGGGTCGGATGGCCCACCAGGGTCCCTCCATCACACCTCCAGCCAGGTGCTGTGTGCCTGAGTTCAGGTGGCTGTACCTTGGTCATCCCTCCACCACACCTCCAGCCAGGCGCTGTGCCTGGGGTCGGATGGCCACACCAGGGGCCCCCTCAATTGCACCTCCAGCCAGGCTCTGTGCCTGGGGTCGGATGGCCGCACCAGGGGTCCCCTCCATCGCACCTCCAGCCAGGCGCTGTGTGCCTGGGGTCAGGTACCTGCACCTCGGTCACCCCTCCATCGCACCTCCAGCCAGGCACTGTGTGCCTGGGGTTGTTGGATGGCTGCACCAGGGGTCCCCTCCATCGCACCTCCAGCCAGGCGCTGTGTGCCTGGGGTTGTTGGATGGCTGCACCAGGGGTCCCCTCCATCACACCTCCAGCCAGGCGCTGTGTGCCTGGGGTCAGGTACCTGCACCTCGGTCACCCCTCCATCGCACCTCCAGCCAGGCACTGTGTGCCTGGGGTTGTTGGATGGCCACACCAGGGATCCCCTCCATCGCACCTCCAGCCAGGCGCTGGAGGCTCACAGCCTCTGTGTGCTGTAGCATCTGTCCCAGTTCCCAGTGCTAAAATGTGGCCATTGAACTGTGTCCCTGCTGCTGACTGCCACTCATTAAAGATAGTCACTGCAGACTGATATCTTACCTCTCTGGGATAGCTTGAGTGGAACCAGGGCCACTTTCCACTCCTCAGTTGGACCAATTTGTCTAAGTGATCGCAGCAAGCAAGCATCTGCCTGCCTGTCAAGTATCGTGGGCTGCTGAGCTCGAGGAAGTCTCCTTGATGGTGCAGGAGAGGTTGAGGGCAGGATTTGAATGTGGAATTTCACATCCAAGTTCCTCTCCATCTCCCTTCTCCGGCACTGACGGACTATCCAGGCTGCCCCACACTTGATGTGTCCTACCTCACTGATGTAAAATGACAGCCTTGTTCCTGCCGTCGTGGCCTTTGGTCCCAGTCTCCTCGGGCACTTCCCCTAGTCCGTTTCTCTGCTGAAACCGAGCTGCGTTCTACCCTGTTGGCCCAGTTTAAGCCTCATGAAGCCCTTTGCCCGCCTTTCCCAGTACTCTCATCGGGCAGTGTGCACCTGAACACTGCCCTGGAGATTTGGAGCTTTACCAAGATAAGGAAGTGTGGTTCTGTTCACAAAAAGATGCAGTACTTGCCTCGCAAGCAGCACACACAGAAGTGTTGGTTTCAGGGCGTCTCCCAGGGACTTTGAGATCTCACCACAGGCCTTGGAATCCACAGGGGATGGTGGAAAACCTTGAGCCATTCCTGCACACCACAGGCTGCTTGCCCATGCTTCTGCCCTGGTGGTGCCTTCCACCCAAACACGTTCCCTCACCGGCGGCTGTGTCTGTCTTCTTGTGTGCCACTTTCACATGACATTTATCAAGCTCTCCCTGGATGCTTCCCCCCTAGCCATATCACCAGCCCACCATGGTGTGTCACAGCCAGGTTTTTGTCAAATGTTGAGCAAACTCTGCAGACCTGCTGACATGACTGGCCAGCTCACAAACAGGCCTGGTGGGAGTGTTTCCAGGGCAGATGCTGCCAAGCAGATTTGACTGTTAAAACAATCAGGAACTCACTGCTGTCGCATCACCCAACAGTGCTAACTGGGCCCTTGTTGGGCTTGGGGGTGGTTTGTTTGCTTGATTTGGGTTTTTTTTTTTTTTGAGCTTATTTATTTTTTTTTTCTCAGAGCTCACCAGCCTCTGAATGCCCCTTTTACCAGCTCACTGCTGTGTCTGCCCTTTTCGGATGAGTATGTCCGACACGGGTACCAGAGGAGCCTGGCATTCGGCAGTATGGAGGAAGTGTCTGCTACGGAAATGAGCTAATTTCATTCAGCGGAGAAATAATCAATATTTGAGAAGTCATTTTGAGCTAACTTTCCATTTGGTTTAAAGAAATAGAGATTATATCTGTCTTACCTTGTAATAACAGCAAATTAGAACTACTTAGTAGGTAAATATTTTTAGGATCTGTAAACAGATGGAAACGTGGAAATTATTTTTAACATTGGGGAAATGCCTTTCAAAGGCAGATAGGATGTGCGGAAGCTGTGACAGGAAAGGCTGACAGAACTGACCGTGTTACGGTGTATAATTCCATGCGGTAAGCATCATCAACAAAATGAACATACCGAATGGCAAACTGGCAGGAGATTTTTGTAGCATTTCTAGAGGGTTATATTCATCCCCAGTTGCAATAAGGAGCTCCCGCTGTTGCTGAGTATAACACTCTCCCGGGACACAGACTCAGACAGCAGTTAGTCCACATACGTTGGTGAAAAGCCCATTGCAGTTACAAACCATTTCCACCATCACAGGCAACCTTCAAAGCACAAAATGAAGTTACCTTTTTTTTTTTTTTCACCTATACTGCTGCCAGTTTTATGTTGATGATGTCCAATGTCAAGTGAGTTGAAGGCTGAAAAAAGAATCTGGTCTGGGTTTTGAGCAGCAGAGTGTATTCGAATCATTTTTAAAGGTGACTTGGCAGAATTTTTAAATTCTGTGTTGCACGTAGCATTCAGTACAGCAATAACGCTTCTAGGTGTCTGGCTTACACAGATATGAAAAGCAGGAGGACAACACAAAACAGTCCTGTTATAAGAAAAGGAAATGATACATGTCCAGTGAGAGGAGGGGCACGTAAGTGCCTACAACACTGAGTTCTGAGCCAGCCGCAGCCCCTGATCCTGCAGGGGGGTGTTGGGCCACGTCTGATGGCATCTCAGGTCAGAGTGTAGGGGCTGCTCGCTGGCATCTGGTAGGTAGAGGCCAGGGTGCCGGTGGGCATGCTGCAGTGTACCGGGCAGCCCCCTGATGGCAAAGAACTGTCCTGCCCAGTGTCTCGTCAGTGCCCGGGCTGAGGAGCCCTGGCAGGGGGCGCATCTGCTAAGATCCCACATTAACGTACTTCACAGGCAGGTCTCAGAGTAGGACAGATTTGGAGGAAGAGTGGAGGCTTTTGGTCTAACCCCAGTAGAAAGGATGCTTTATCAGTAAAGTTGGAATTGCAAGAAATGTAGGAGTTAAACTGGCAGAGAAAGTGGACCAGCCAAATGCCAGGGAAGACTGTGGCTCCACCTGTGGGTCTGGCGTGAGACGGGTGGGAAGGCAAGGAGGCTGGCCTGGTTGGCCCAGAGTTTGAGCTGGCAATTAGCAAGGGATCAGAGTGAAGTGGAAGCTTGGAGCGAGTTGTTGTTGGAATGCCCCATAAGAATTTGAGCGCAAGCAGGTAAGGAATGGGGGCCAGTTTTACATGTTTTACATTCCTGAGTGGGTGTATGCCAGGTAACTCAACTGTATTAGCAGTACCTGGGAGCATAACCCACAGCCAGCGGGAAGGCGCAGCGGGGTAGTGATGCTGATGTGGAGCTGTGGTGATTGATGGCCTGGGTGGTGGTCAGTGACCAGGAGGAGTGGGTGGCACACATTTAGTGACTTCTTTCCTGTGTAATTTCTAAACGGAGACAGTGAAGGAGTTATACAGACCTCTTTGCAGAGGTCTGTCCCAGGACTATTTGACAAGCAGGACTTATTTATCCTTTCTAAACTTAAATCTTCCTGTCTTAAGGAACAGGAAATGTGTTAACTTTCCCGATTTATACTAAGAAATTGATGTGGGCGTCTGTGCCTCTGCTGCTTTTGGCCATTTTCTGCAGTCCCTGCATCTAAGAGCTCAGCCAGCAGATGGCGCTCTGTGTCCTGGTTTGTCATTCTGTCCAGTAGCTGAATTGCCTATTCCCCCCCACCCCGGCAACCCCTTCCTCTGACTTTTCTGCTCTGTGATTCTCATGCTGCAAAAGGAAAATTACCCTTACTTGAAAACAGCAGCCCTTTCCGGGTGTTAGCTGTAAAACACAGGAATCAGAGACAGATTTGCCCATCTAGTCCAGAAGTTGGCACACCAGGCAGAGTGGGCCAGAACACAGCTGTTACTTTGGTGGCCCAGGAGCTCAGAATAGCTTTTAATCAGAGTAGCTGCCTGGTACCCCCCTTTGTGTCCCCTTATCCTCTCTGTATTCACTATCAGGCCCTTTAGGAAAAGGTCTGCTCCCTACATTTCTTTCTTTCACATCAGTAACTTGCCACAAACCCCTGGCAAGCTGGAAGCCCTTCCAGTACAAGAACTGCCCCCCACCGAGTCCGAGTCCTGCAGTGTCTAGTGCAGAGTGCACCTTTCTAGACCCTTGGTCATCGCCTCCCAGCACATCGACTTGCACTTGTGTTTTCCCTGGCACCCTGGCTCTTGTCCCAGCGTTAGGTTTTTATTTGTTTTCCAGTTTATTTATTTGGCACAAGCTTGATTCTGAGAGTTCTGACCACTCTAGGGTCAGAAGCCTCTCGGTTGCTGAGTGTCCCATCCTTGAGAAAACCAGGCTCCGTGGCTGAGTTCTTAGCACTGTGGTCCCTCCGCAGAAATTCATTTCAGGTTTTGCCATCTCATTGCTCCTGGCCTTTCCTTTTCACGTAGGAACAGGTTTTCTTTCTTTCAGTGTGTGTTTGATGCTGCTCCCGCAGCCCAGCAGAGCACATCTGCAGTATGTAGACACATGCCTGAGACACTGTGGTGTAAGCTAAAAGCATCCCTGTGGGCAGGAGCTTGAGGAAACCCTCCGGTGCAGGATGAGCAGAAGGCAGTGAGTCTGCAGCACGCCACGGAGTGATCATCATGGCGATCACGAGTGTGCAAGCCAAGCAGCAGAAAACCGCAGGGTGCGAGAGACCGGCCAAATCCTGCGGGTCAGGGGTTTTAAGATAACGAACTCCAGAAAAGCAGAAAAATACCTATCTCGGAAATGCAGGGTGTTCACGGGCGTTAAGACACGTGGCGGGTGGTCGTGGAGACCTCAGCAGATTTTCATCAGCAGTCCCAAGGCAAGTCATTGATGGTTTCCGAGTTAAGAACCTTCATTGCAGAGATAAGGTCTTCCAGAATCATTTCTTCAGCACAACGGTTTGGGGCCTGTGTGTTTGTCAAGATAATGGCAGCTCTTTCTTGCCTTAAATGGCAATTCTAAAAGCCAACAGTTTGACACGAATTCCTTCGTAGCATTTGTTGAAAACCCTTTGTAATAGAATCCAGTTTTCATTACATGCACAGTACAATGAGTGTCGCTGTGGGCCGCCATCAGACACACAAGCACCCAAAACCAAACCTGGCGCTCCTTTTCCCATGCTGTCTCCTGATCCCAGGCCGTTGGACTTGTTTGTGATCGGACACACTGCCTTTCAAACCACTTTGGAATTCATTCAGAAATAAAAACCAGTGTCATTGCCAGCTTAGGATTAACGGAAAGGTTTAATGTTTTTCTTCACCAAAAAAAGGTGTTAACTTCTAAGCTTTGTATTCAGAATCTCTTACCCGAAGTGTATGCAGCCTTCCTTGTTATTGTCTATGAAAATCAGGCCGTGCCTGAAACCACTTCTTGTCAGTTTCCCCAAGAACCGCTCCCTGAGGCTCTGTGTGGTTGAGGCCACTGTCCCCGAGGGAGTGAAGCGGAGGGCATCCCGCTGTTCTCCGAGCGTCAGCTCAGGTGGGCAGCATTGCGAGCATGAAGCGAGACCTCGGGGACCCGTCCAAAAAGCGTAGCCTCGCTCTTCCGTCTGGTGCATGGTTCTACCCCCAAAAGTTTCGTGACCTTTTTTGGTGTGGAATGGGGAAGAAAACAAAAAGTGCCCATTCTGAATTTACTCCTAATTGATTCCCCTTTTCTTTCCAAATCCTGTGTCCAAAGAGAACGTGTTGAAAATACGAGTCGCCCGGGAGAAATGCAAGTGACCATTCAGAACCTAATGCCGGCAACTGTGTACATCTTCAGAGTCACGGCTCAAAATAAGCACGGCTCTGGCGAGAGCTCGTCTCCGCTGCGGGTAGAAACGCAGCCGGAAGGTAGGTCCTCCACCGCCTGGTGGCCCGCCACACGGGAGCCTGGGAGAGGCTCTGCCCCTGTGCCCGGCAGCCTGCACAGCACAGCCGCTCCGCATGCGGGACCTCGGGAGCACGGGACAAGCAGGCTCTGTGTCAGGCGGTCACTGACCGGGACGGACCGTCCATGTGCTCCCGTTAACGCTCCTTTGAGACTTAGCTCGCGTACGTTCTAGGCTCTTCCCCCTGAGCGTAAGACTGTAGTCCCCTGATTTTAAAATGCACCATCACTTTGTTCCTTCAGTTATGATTATGTGTGGTATCTGCTTGCATCTATATGCTTATTTTGTGGCAGAGACAAGGCCTTTGCCATCTTTACGCTTGCTGTCATGTCTGACGCAGTGCCTCGCTCGCGACATAGGGGCTACTTTCCTTTATCTTCCTACTGGACTTTTCAGGCCTTTGGTCTCTTGTGCTAGTTAGATTTAGTCCCTTTTTCTAGTTAGATTCCTAAGATTATCTGTGACTGAGAGCAGTTTCAGCTTGATTTAGTTTGTGAAAGTCTTAGCTAAGTTTTCATTGTGAACTATGAGCCTGAAATGGTAAGAAGCAATCAGATCATAATGCTGCTCTCCCCACTTGAGGCTTTATTCTGAACTTGCCTTCATCTTTTCTTTCCTTTTTTTTCCCCCTCCCAAGATTTATTTGAAAGAGTGACAGAAGTCTGCAGTCTGCTGGTTCTTTCCCCACATGATCGCAACCACCAGGCCTGGACCAGGCTGAAGCCAAGAGCTTCACTCAAGGTCTCCCATGCACATGTCAGGGCCCAAGACCTTTTGGGCCATCTGCTGCTGCTTTCCGCAGGCCTTTCCCAGGGAGTTAGATCAGAAGCCAGGGAGCCAGGACGCTGTGTGTGGGATGCGAGTGTAGCAGGCAGCAGCTTTCCCTGTTCACACCACAATGCCAGCATCTCAACTCGCCTTCTGTTAACACTAGCCAGTTTTTCCTTAGAGCTTTGTCCCATCTCTACATACTAGGGTTTTTTTATTTCCTCACATACTGTTAATTGCACTCATTTTTCTGTGTTAACCACCCTGTAGTAATGGAGGTGTTACTTCAGGCAAAGAGCATGTGAGATACAGAAGTGGAAGCTGCTGGGCAGGGAGCAAAGCCAGTGAAATGACCTGCATGTGGAGCCCTGCCTTTACTGGTAGACAGGAGCCAGGAAGCCATGGCGCTTCCCCTCCTAATACAGCAGTGTGTGTCAGGTCCCTTCCGTGCCAGGTCCTACACGAGATTCCAGAGGACAGGGAGAGCCTTCTGGGCTGAACGGGCACGATAGGAGATGAGCAGTCAGGAACCAAGCCTGAAGGAGTCAGGAAAGACCGTGTGCTTAGCACAGTGTGAGGATGTTGAAGGTCGCAGTTCTGCGCGTTCAGACAGGTGCAGGAGTTCTGCACTGGATTTCCAGCTCGATGGCCGTCATTAGGTCTGATGTTCAGTTAGCACACAGAGACATGCCGGGACACAGCACAGAGCCATGCCAGTGAGGATGGGAGCGCCAAACGCGGAGGTCGTCACGAAGCATTAGGGTTGGAGCAAGTGCTCTTGGGGAAGCCCCCGCCCCACTCCCAGATATAGATCAGACAGGGCACATGCAGGGTGCGTCACAAGGAAGATGTGTGACCCCAGGCAGGGGTCCCATTGCAGGCGCTGAGCCGTCTGAAAGCGCGTGAGAACAGAGGTACGTGTGCATCCGCAGCCTTCCCTCAGAAAGACAGAGCCTGTAGCCCTCGTTGCCCTCTCCGAGCTTGTGAGTCAGACCGGTGAGCGCCACCTGGGTAGGAGCCTCCGGAAGATTGAGATAAGAGAGCCATGAAGCAGAATGGGTTCATTGAATGTCTACCCCAGGCTAGTGGCTGTGGCACGTTATCAGGGTGGAGCACCTGATGCAGAAGACAAGGGGCTTGGAACTGCAGGGACAGGCGAGTGAGGACAGTGATGTTACATGCTGGCAGCCCAGCCGTTTGTTAAAAGAATCGTGGTGGGAGGGAGGAATGTTCTGATGAGAATCTTAAGGATGGAGGGACAGGGTCACATGTTTTGGCAAAAGGGGAGTAGTTACTGGAGAGAGGTTTGCGTTTTGTATAGAGCTGCTGAGCTTGTATGGGGGAGGCACAGATGTTGGAGTCGGCTTTGGAAAATATTTCACATATTTAGCTTCATAAACCAACTTAAAACGCTTTCCACCTAACACCACCATGCAGCTGAAATATAAAGAGTTCATCAGGACACTCTTTTAGGCCAATAATTTATATCTTGAAAGCAACTTCAAGAGAATTTTGGGACTGTTAGAGGGACGTTTTCAGTGGCGGCAAAAGTGACAAATCCCACCTTCCAGACCACACGGAATTTCCCCTTAGCATCAAGTGAGTAACAGGCTTTGTGACTAAAGCAAGCCAACAGTTCTTACAGTAACCTTATTCAGGTTTCTCTACTGGCATAGCAGAACAGTGTCGCTGTTAAGAAAGCCGCTTTGTTTAATCTTTTGTAAAGTTATTTTTTTCCTTTCCCAGCTCTTAGCTCTAATGAGTAGCTATTTAAAAAAAAAAAAAAAAAAAACAGTGCTAGTGCCAGAGAAATTGTTTTCAAATACAAACAACATCTGTCAAAGTGCAGGACGCAGGCAGCTGCCCAGGGGTTCTGTATATACTGGCGCTGAGACCCATCAGTCAAACAGGAGTGTACACGAAGGGGGAAGTGTGTGAACTGTTGGGGGACTTAGAACTGCCTTAGATAGTCAGCTGGGGATGCTGTGATCTTGTCCCGCTGGTCTTTGGGAACACATGTTTTAGAGTCACGACACGCTCAAGCTCTGACCCCTGTGAGGTGCCTACACCGCTCGGGGAAGGGACCCGAACTCGAAGCCTCGACTGTAAGTGGGGCTGGTACCAGCAGGAAGACTGAATGAGAAAACACGCTTACGGCCGCCCTGCTTGGCCAGGCGTTCAGTACAGGGTCGCTGCTTCTGACGTTGTTTGCTGCTCCTTCACCTAGTCTTGTTCCTTTTTCCCCTCCCTCTGTGTGTGTGTGTGTTCAAATGCAGACCTCATTGCATTCCGCCCTGGCAGGACGTCTCCAGTAACTGGAGGAAACCCGGAGTCCTAGAGGTTCGTCCGCATCGGGCTCCGGTGCCCCCTGCTCAGTATGCCCTGTGCTCATCTCCACTTAACACCAGCTCAGCTTTCACAGGTCCTTCCTGTCTCCTCGCCGCCTCACAAACTGCACTCATTTCTGCTTGGTTTCTGAGGAAACCGTTCCCAGCTCCAGGAAGTCTCCTCAATGCTGCTTTTCTCTACCCAGCCCTTCCCAAGGCGCGGTTATGTACTGCCTTCCTTCGGTTAACACTTAGTGTCGCTGCAGCTGCGCGTATCTGACTCTCTCCTGAGGCTGGGAGTGTGCCATGTGGGCCAAGCGTCCCTGGGCCCCCTGCAGGATCCGGCCAAAGCAGGCTGAAGGTGGTTGCCTTTATTTTTGCTGCATAGCCCCCACTCTACAGTAAAAGTTTTATAAACCACAAGAAGAATCCTGTGTTTCCCTTATTTTGAATACATTGAAGCTACAATTTTTGGTTTTTGCTTTGGGTCACGAGAAGGAAAATGCATTTATATATCACCCTTGAAGCTGCTGCAGTCCGATCAGGTCATGCCCTAAATCTGAACTATTTTTAAAATACAGCCACTAAGATGGGGTTGCCAAGAATGGTTATTATTGATGAGTTGGTCATTTTCAGTGATTTTTTTCCCTCTCAAAATTGTTCTTCTTTGCAGTCCAGCTCCCCGGCCCAGCACCTAACATCCGTGCATACACAACGTCCCCCACCTCCATCACTGTCACGTGGGAGACACCAGTGTCTGGCAACGGAGACATTCAGAACTACAAGTTGTACTACATGGAAAAGGGAAGCGACAAGGAGCAGGTAGAGCTGACTGTTCACAGGGAGAGCAGAGTTAAGGCGTGCTTTCTAAAACTTGGAAACCTGAGGGGCGGGAACCGGTCACACGGGACACAGGAAGGTGACAAAGTCTACTTGTTTGTACCAAGATTTGTTCTGTATTTGTTACCAGCCAGAATCACTAAGCATCAAATAGTATCTCTCGGAAAGTGGTCACTGGTTCTGATCAGTGTGAGAGGAATGGAAACCTGCTCCATAGCAATAGGATATGTAGAGTGGCTGCTTTGTCATGTAGCATTTCTTTTGCCCAAGTTGTGTACATCTGTAATATTTTATCCCTTTCAAGGACGTTGATGTTTCGAGTCACTCCTACACCATGAACGGGTTGAAAAAATACACCGAGTACACATTCCGCGTGGTGGCCTACAATAAGCACGGTCCGGGAGTGTCCACGGAAGATGTCGCCATCCGAACGCTGTCAGACGGTGAGTCTGCAGAATGTCACACAGGGCACCCAGGTCCCAGCTCTGCACCTCTGTGTAGTGTGATCTCACACAAGCCATTTATTATTTCTGAGTGTGTTTCTCTCCATGTGCAGTCCAAGTAATACCGGTGTGGTTGTGAAAACTCGGTGAGGATGTGTAGAATGCACAGAACCTGGTATTCTGCTGGCTCTGATGTTTCTGCTTTTAGCAGGGACTGTGCATGTCAGATTCACTGGGCGTTCCCAGCACAGAGGACTGCAGGTCTGTGAAAGGTTAGCCTTCCTCTGCTTGCTGGTTTTATGCCACGTTGGGCTTTTTAATTCCTTAGTATCTCGTGTGACAGTTGGAGTTCTTGCCTGGGACTGACCTGAGTCACATGTGTGTGCCCGTGACCCAGAGCAGCGTTTTTCGAACCGCAAGCTGCCAAAGAGATTAAGGTAGTCAGGAGCAGCATTTTTAGATTAGAACAGAAATATCAAGGGTCAATACCCTTTGAAGTTGCGTATCAGCATCTTACTGGAAATGTCTGAAACCGTGTCTGTGGAAGCCCTTATGTCTGCAAGTATATGTGCTATGGAAACTACAGTTTGACTGCCTCAAGGAACTGGTTAAAGTTAGCAACCCACACAGCAGGGCAGGCTGACTGCCAACACGCACTTCCTCCTGAGGTGAGGCGTGGATGGAGACACTGCTGGGAATGCTGAATTTGAAGCAGATCGTGCTGAAAACAGCCATGTCTAGATTGAGATAAGTTCTGTTCCCCCACCCTCTCCCTCCCCACTCCACAGTTAATAGCTGAGGAGTCATTGTGGACTCTAGATTAAAGAAGAATGAAGACACATACAAAAGAACAAAATATATGTGATTATTAACTGGGTCTTGGATCTGCAGATGAAGCACATCCATAAAAGACGCTGTTGGCCCAATAACTACTGTTACTGTGAATAATATTAGGGAATGTTAAAAAGTCACTGTATTGTTGGGTGTATCAGGTGGAGTTTTGCATTTAGCGTCCTGAATGGCGTCATTGGAGAGTATCCCTGTGCTGGGACACACAGGTGCTCTGCAGGGTTTAGGAGTACAGTCTCGTGATGTCCACAGTTGTCTCATTAACTCAGAAACTTTGTGTAGATAGAGAACTCCATGTGTGTGCATTCATAATACAATAAAGCAGAATATAATTGGTAGATGCAGGGAAAGAATAGATACAGTGTTCACCCTACTATTTTTCATTCTCCCCTGTGGACTTGACATTTTTCTTCAAGAGTAAAACATTGGGGAGAAGGAAGTATAGTTTGACACGAGGAAGTTGGTCATGATTTGGGGGAGGGCATGTGTGCCTACATATGAATGTGCCATTACAGGGTCAGCGTTCAGGACTCAGTGACAGTGGGAACAGGATGCTGCCTCACAAGGTGGCTGAGGGCAGGGCGGCTGGGACAGTGGCACTGCCCAGTGTGGCAGACCCAGGGCAGCTGGGGTGAGGGCAGAGGCACCTGCTAGGGCCAACTCTGTCCCAGACGCATTCTCTGCCTCAGCAGCGTTCGTGCAGTTGAATGCTCAGTTCACCTGGTCACCATGTGTCGTAAAGGAAGTAAAGGTTTGTTGGTGGAGTGAGATAGGAGGCTGGAGTCAGCGTTGTGCGGGTAGAGATGTACCCAGCAAGGCTTATCGAAATGTTCTTTGCTGGCAGCCACCACTATGAAGGGAGATGTTGGAAGGTGTGGAGCCATAAAGGTTGAGATTCCTGTGTTATGTTTTCATATGTGAGGAACTAAAAACTGTGCAGTGGTTTGTTTAGCCAACAATTCCAGACTTCTGCTTCTAAGCGGGTGTTCCCTGGTGCATAGCTGCCTTGTGAAGCCAGATGGGACGTAAAACAGAAGCTGCTGCTTCCATACCTCTGCGAGGCTCCGTGTGGAGCCCCTGATGTGTATATGACTCATCTTCTTTCATCATGTCATAGTGTTTGGTAGATTCAGTTCCAGAAAACGTGCGAATGCAGTCCAGAATGGGGGGTGCTATCTCTAGACATACACGGAATATTCTCAGGGTTTAGAAAACATGAATGTCTACAGCTAGAGATCAGAGCCACTCCACATGGCCGCACCCCATCTACACAGCAGACCCGGCTTCCTCATCAGCACTGGGAACATGTGTTTGTATCAAGTGCCACAATGGGTCATGTAAAACCTTTTTCTCTCTCTTTTTGCCTTCCAGTCCCCAGTGCCGCTCCTCAGAATCTGTCCTTAGAAGTGAGAAATTCCAAGGTAAAACTTGCCAGTGCCATTGTTCCTTTTTTACTGCTGGGAACCATGGAGCCCTGGGAGCTTCCAGCAGGGGAGGTGGTGGCGTAAGAAAGCATCAGAAGAGACAGAGGCCCCTGGCGTCACAGTCGCCCGCATGAACTCAATCATGGGCTTGTACAGGAAAAAGATGGCGTAGAGACTGTGCTCACCAGCGAGCACTCTGGAGTTCAGACCTGGGCAGGTTGAAGTCACTGTGACAGCACGGTCCCTGTGTGTGTGTCAATGAGAGGCAGACACGCCCAGGTGCTCGTGTCCGCCCCAGCTCCCTACATGCTGCCAGGTCTGCCCGTTAGAGGTTTTGTGTGGACGACTGACTGAGACACTCGGTGCTTTTGGAAAGCCCCCCTGGAGAAACAGCCCGCTGTTGCTTGGTGATCCTCTTCTCTGAGAGTTGAGACAGAAGCTGTTCATACTGGAACACAGGGACCAATCTTTGTCCCTCACGGTAGCCTGCTGCCTAGTCCATATTTTCCTTCTAGAAACTTCTGCCCAGCATTTTAATTCTGACAGAACCTCCAGGAGATCACGGGTCCAGAGTGTGCTGCTCTAATAGTCTTTCCCCCAGTTGATCACCTTGGGTTTTAAAATCAAAGTGACTTCTGAGTAATTAGTAAACGACTGAAAGCAAGTGCCCTGCCACCTCTGCCTTTCTCTTCACACGCAGATCAGATCATGATGCAGTAAGCGGTGAGGACCGACTTTCCGGAACGTTCACTCTTTTCCCCGTAACCTTATCTTTCCCAGAGTATCCTGGTTCACTGGCAGCCCCCTCCCCCCGCCACGCAAAATGGGCTGATTTCTGGCTACAAGATTCGCTATCGAAAAGCCTCCAGAAAGAGTGATGTCACGGAGATCCTGGCCGCGGGGACGCAGCTGTCCCAACTGGTTGAAGGTAGGATGGGATCTTTGTCTGCACCGAGTTGCACTAGTCCAACGATGGCTCGGGAACAGGGCCTCACACACAGATGAAATGTCAGGCATTTTGAATGGCTCAGCCTGCTGCTGACTCGATAAAAGTTAGTGGAAACCACTTGTCTCGGAGTGGTAAGATGACGTGGTTCTTACTGCCTCAGCAGGGAAGCCCACCTGGGCTGCAGCTGAGCGTCTCGTTCATGGTCACTGACCACAAGGGCTTCAAAGTCAGATTCTGGTTATACTCCACAGTCACATAAATACCATTTTCCCAGCTATGAAGCTTCCGTTTTGAATATTTGATGGTGGAGGTTGATTATACACCAGGCCCTGTTCTTACTGCCAACTTAATAAAATTCAGTCTCTGTCCACGAGGAGACAACTCATGCTCCCGGGGAAACATCAGATTTGTAAGCAAAATGTAAGTCTTAAGGTAAAGATAACTTTGTTTTTAAAAAAAATCTTGCATTTAAGTCCTACCTAGCGCCATAGGTTTCCTGAGCTTTTGTTAGTGTGTGCTGGCTCCGAGTATAAAATGGCGAGGGAAAACAGAGCCTTGTTGTCTAGGAGCTTGAGAAATACCCAGGGACTGTGGATTACCAAGCTCCTGTACTGAACCATAGTTTCGGTGGTGAAGTGTTAGCACTGTCTTTACAGCACGCATCGTCAGCTACACGGAGAGGAGCTCTCCGCCCCTGTGCACACACCTTTGTACTCGCTCACTGCCCCATACACCTGACATCTCAAAGGCCAGGGCTGGAGACTGCATTGTCAGGGTCTCCTAGGACTCAGTGGAGATGTGCGCCACTCGTCCAGTTATACACACAGGTGCAGCTCACCTGCACCTTCTGCTTCTGTGCGTGCAGAGGCACTGCAGGGGATCAACCTGCTTGGACCCAGCCTTTTTGCTGCTTGCTTTCTTGTAGGCAGACAGGTTCCTGTTCCTGGTGGACCTGTGGAAACAGAACCTACTGTCTCCCCGCCCCCCCCCATGCCAGGTGACAGGGCTAGCTCACTAAGCCAGGGAATATTTTGCCTCCTTGTCAAGTTACATTCTCATCATCCCTTTCATTGAACTTCCTAAACTCTGCTGTTTATCAAAGTCCCCAGCGTTTGAATTTAGGGCTGTTGAATAATTTTCAGTACCTTTGCAAGACCTACCACAGTGTCTGATATTTAAGTGCTCTGTCTCAAAATGGATGCCTGGATGTGTAGATCACTGGCCGCTCCGCTGACCATTGCCAGGCCCAGTAGGAAGTACTCACATATGTGGATCTTATTTCATTTTTCGTCTTTTAAAGCTTGCGCGACAGAAAGATTTGGGGTGCTTTCCTCTTTTGCTTACTGTGAATACTAATTGGCCAATGAGACACGCATTTCTAGGCTGTATTTGATGTATGAAACTCTGCATGGTCATGGGCCCGCTCAGCAGCGGTAGCCTGGCAGTGCACCTTTGTGCTTCTCTGGGTTTGGGTATGGCGGAGACAGCCTGACTTTGTTGCTCTGTTAGAGCCCTTTGATTATCTCTGGCCTTTAATGGCCTTGACTTCCTTTGTAACAAAATGAAGAGAGTGGGTTAAGTGATCCCTGAAGCACCTTCAGGCTCTAAAACAAAGTCTATAGCCCCCCTGCTTTGGGCATGGCGCTTCTCCCCAGGGCTGGCTGGCTGGCTGGCATTCAGCCCTTGCTGTAAAACCAGGAGCCACTGAGCGCTGTATTCCTCTTGTGCGTGCGACATGTCAGCTCCAGCTGAAGCCTCACCAAGCCACGGACTGAGTTAGCAGATAAGATGCTTATGCTTTCCTGAGTGATTTATCTTCTGTTTTTCCAAAGTTCTTGTCTTCAGCTTGTCTGTTTTGTCCTCTGGGTGTCAGGTCTTGATCGGGGGACCGAGTACAACTTCCGAGTGGCTGCTCTAACCGTCAATGGCACGGGCCCGGCGACCGACTGGCTGTCGGCTGAGACCTTTGAAAGTGACCTGGATGGTAAGAAGGGTGGAAGCGTGTTTATTCAGAGAGTGAGTACACATAGGTGTGTGCATGTAGCACCTTTGTCAGTGACAGGTGCCAGAGTGCTGCTTCTGTCTCAGTTTACAGATTGTTAAAGGACAGTCATGGTTTATGCCTTGAAATAACGCGTGTGAAGAGACTGTAAACTGTCACCTTTTTAAGCCTCTTAGTTTGCTACCAATTGAATCCATTAAAGGTCTAAAATTTCATGTTTTTTGACTTATCCTGTTACTCAGTGGAATAACTGTTGGGTATTGTTGCTGTGAATGATGTTTGATCACCTGTTCATTGCAGGCTTCTGATTACTCTGTGTTACGTCCTTCTCTTTTCACCTGCCAAAGTTTGGGAGTAGAACATGGAACTGAGAGGAATGAACAACTATTGAATGACTGTTTTTATGCAGTGGGCAGAGGTTCAAAGTAATATTGCAGCGTCTTGTATTAAGGACTCTGTGGGATGATTCTCTTCTTAGAAGACAATGAAAGCATCAACTCTGTTCCCCTGTATGGAAAGATTTCTCTTTAAACTCTAGGACAAGAGATTGAACACTATTCCCCCATCAGTGGTGAAATAGTCTAAGGGATTGTAGATCTCAATTTGCTCTTCTACTTTCCAGAAACTCGTGTCCCAGATGTGCCAAGCTCGCTTCATGTCCGTCCCCTGGTCACTAGCATTGTCGTGAGCTGGACACCCCCTGAGAATCAGAACATTGTGGTCAGAGGTTATGCCATCGGCTACGGCATCGGCAGCCCTCACGCCCAGACCATCAAGGTGGACTATAAACAACGCTATTATACCATTGAAAATCTCGGTACGTTTGCCAACAGAGGAAGTAATCGTGTGGGGGTGATTTCCCAATATTACTGTTGTATAATAACCTTACAGGAAAAAAATCATACAAGAATAGTACGAAGAAGTCGTTATGCTCTTGATGCACATTTCTCAAAGGCTGACATTTAACCACATTTGCTCTGTTGTTCTTCGTGTGTGTGTGTTTCTCAACCCTGACTTACTTGATATTGAGTTGTAGGCGTGGTGATCCCCCTGTTGGTACTTCAATGTACAACTCCTACAAACAGCATCTTTCTAACACAACCACCGCTGTCAAATCAAAAGGATAAACGTAAGACTCTGAACATTTTAGATCTATCTTGCCAAATTTTTCACTAATATCCTTTAGGATGAAAGGAAAATACTATTTTCTGGATGAAATCACGTGACACGTTGAGTTATCTCATTAGTTTTCCTTAGTAAGAAACACTTCCTCCGTGTTTTCCTTGACTTTCTCAATTAAAGCGTCTTTAAGAACAGACCATTCGTATGTTGTCAAAGTCCCTCGGTTCAGACTTGTCTGCTGCTTCCTCATCACATTCAGGTTATACATCCCTGGGAGGAGTAGCAAGGATGTGCTGGGTTCCTGCCAGGGTGTCACAACAAAAAGCACACTGTGGCCTGTTGACCATGATGTTAGCTTGAACCTCTTGGTCCAGACAGATGTTTCCCCCACCGTAGAGTTATCTGTTCCTTTGTAAGAGGTATCTTGTGAAAGAGATACCTTGAGTCTTGATAAATATCCTGTTGTTTGTCATATTTTTACTATTGCAGTTTTAACGTTTAAAGCTGTTACTATGATGTTTCCCTCATTCAACATCTATTAGACTTCCTTAGCAAGGAAAAACTTTTAGAGAATGGCCAGTGGGAGACTCTGTAACTGTCCTCCTGTCCGTGTAACATCACCTGTCTGTCTTCAGAACTTTCCTTTTTGTAGCACAGTAAGGCACCCCAGCTCCATCTGATATTTTCTAAACCTCAGGCCTGCTCCAAGGAACCTTGGTTTATTTTATGAAAAATGGTGGTTTTAAAAACTTTTGATTTGTTTTCATATTTTTTGAAAGGCAATCAGACAGAGATTCCCCATCTACTGGTTCACTGCCCAGGTGCCCACAACAGCCAGGATAAGCCAGCCAAAGCCAAGATCGTGATACTCAGCTGAGGTCTTGGGTGTGTGTGGCAGGGACACGAGGGCTTGAGCCTCCCAGGATACACCTCAGCAAGAAGCAGATCAGTATCCAACCAGACACTCCCAGATTAAGTGCTGTGTTAACACACACCTCAGAAGTGGGGTTTAAAAACAGATATCTGAACACTGTACATGGTTGTTTCTGGTGTAGAGGATCTCAAGCAGTCTACAAAAAGCCTACTAAATTATAAATGAGCTTAGCTAGGTTGCAAGATACAGATCTAGTATGTAACATCAATTACATCTCCATTCGCTGACAGTAAGCAGTTAAAAATATGAATTAAAATAAGAATGCAAGTTACAGTATCATCAAAAATATGAAATGCCAATGAATAAATCTGTGAACATGTACAAGATCTGTGCACCAAAAACTGGGAAAATCGTTGCTGAGAGAAGTTAAAGAGAGCTTGAGCAAGTTCCATGTTATTTCTTGACTAGAGGACAGATTCTAGCCAGCCCGTGCAATCACAAGTAAAATCTCCATGGTTTGTTTTTGTTTTTGTTTTTTTAATAAACTCGAAAATGTGTTTGAAAGGAGAAAAGAAACTAGAGTCACCAAAAAAAGGTTTAAAAAGAATAATTGATAGAGGACTCACACCCCCTGATGTCATGGCTTCTGAAACTATAGGAATTGAGACGATGTGGTGGTATTAAAGATAGTAGATATAGAACAATAGGAGTCCAGAAATAGACCTGTGCACCCATAATCTATTTTTGCCAGAGATACTGAGATAATTCAGTGAAGAAAGGATGGCCTCTTTCACAAAAGGTGAGGGTATTATTAGAAATCTCTTTGAAAAGAAAGGAAACTTGACTGATTTTTTAAGTTTATCTAGTTGAAAGACCAAGTAACAGAGATGAAGACAGAAGGAGAATTTCCCATCTTCTAGTTTCCTTTCCCAACGCCTAAACAGCTGAACCTGGGCCAGCTGTTTAATTTTTTAATTAAATACAAATTAAAGCCATAGTGAAATACCGTGGTATTCCCACTGTAACTGCTAAAGATGAATAGAGCAACAATAGCAAAGATAGCAAGGACACAGAACTGGACCCCTCAGACTTTTGTGGGGATGTCTGATGTTTGTAATTAGTGAGGAAGACGGTCTAAATGAAGAAGACGGCCTAAAAGTTCCCTGCAAAGTTGAGCGTGCAACTCAGCAGTCCAGCTCATAGATGTGTAACCAAGAGAAATGAAAACGCCCACCCATGTGAACACGTCGGCATGGATGTTTATGCTGATGCTGTAGTAGCCCCAAAGGAGGAATCTGAGCCTATTTCTGTCCATAGGAAAGCAGGAGCTCTATAGAACGGAGCACTGATCCGTGGTGAAAAAAAAAAAAAAAAAGGCCATTGATACACAGAACAAAATGAACCTCATAGACACTTGGGCAAAAGCAGTTAGGAGAGCGTGTGCTGTGTTACCTGTTTTCATGGACACACAGCACAGGCCGACTTGCCTTTGGTGACAAAGCCACAGGAGTGTTGCATGGAGCTGGGAACGATAGAATTTGATTTGGAGGGCACGGGGGACCACTTGGAATATTGATAATGTCCTTCATCGTGATCTTGGAGGTTATGATACAGGTATATGTGTTTGTCAGAACTTAATCATGTACTGCAGTGAGTCAATACTTTATGGAAAATACGCCTCGGTTGATCCTCAAGAGAGAATTTCAGCAGTGTTACTGTTTTGTAGTAGAAAGTGAATTTAAGTTAGCTGTAATTACTTTTAGATTATCATCCTAGATCTTTTCTTCAAAAGACTTCTCTTCATTCAGAATACTCTCTGGAAAAAATTTTCTTGGAATCATTGCTTTATGAGCATCTTTCCTAGGAAGAATTTCAAGTGTCTAACAGATGACTTGCCCTGCATGGTTTCTCATAGAAGTGAAGCTGCAGTTTCAGTCCGCATTGATAAACAACGGAGCCATGCTCTGAGAGGCAGCAGCACTACCATCCCCAGGGAACAGTCATGTCCGTCAGTCATTGCAGAGCAGGGCAACGCTTTGCTGGTAGGATGCAAACGTTGCTTGTGACCAGTTCCCTCTGCCAGGCTACCAGAGAAAGTCCTTGGCATTGTCCACAGGACATGGCCCTTGCCCTGCAGAGGTCTTCTGTACAATAGAAGAAAGGTAAAATACAAATAACAATGGGATGAGTTGGAATACATTCAGAGAAGAGAGGGCTGGCGAGACACAGTGAAAAAGTCAGGGAGGAAACTCACCCAGGGCTTCCAAGATCAACTCGGAGTAGTCTGAAACGCAGAGGTGACAGGAAGCAGCACTTACGCTGACTCTGTGAGGAAGGAGGGCATGTGAAACATTCCAAAGGAAAGTCATTTCAGAGTGAACAGATTGGCCTGGGTCACTCCCTGGGACACCTGCCTCCTGCCTCTGAGGGCCTGAGTCTTCCAAGCTTGCTTCCTGCTGCTGCTCACCATCATAGGCAACAGATGAAGGCTCAAGTCGCTGTGGCCCTAGTGTCTCATGGGAGGCCCAGGTGGAGTTTCTTCTCCTGACTTCAGCATAGCCTGCCCCAGCCCCAGCTCCAGCCCAGCCCCACCTCCACCTATCATGGGCGCTTGGAATGAACTAGCAAATGGAAGACCTGTGTCTGTCTCTCTTCATCTGTGCCTGTCGCTCTTACAAATAAATGAAGACACATACTCTGTCAAGTGAGAGACAAGTCAGAGGTGAAGTACAGCGTCTGCCTACAGAATATATATGCCTTATCCATTTGGTCCCAGGCCTGTCGTTTAGCCAGCAGCTGTTTAATGAGCAGAGAATCAGATGGGTATGGGTTGCAATTCTTAGGGCTAATGTACTTTAAGAATGACTTTATGTTATTTAATGTACTTCAAGTTGTTCACATTGCCAAGGAAGGGGGAAGGAGTTGTTACAGACTGTGTGACCCAGGGGACCAATGCAGGGTGGAGTCAGGTCTTTCAGCTGAACGATCCTGTGCAGGTGAGGAGAACAGACGTGTGCCCTGCATGGGCAGCAGCAGAGGAACAAAGCACAAGGTGCTGAACGGTGACCAAGAAACAGTGTAGGGGCCAGTCAGAGGCTCAGAGACAGTAGGCTGCGTACACAGGACATTGACACGGTCATCCGTCCTGAGGGAACGGGAGGGAAGAAGGTTTCTCACCTGGGTGGCAGGATTGGCAGGAATGCCGTGTGCTGAAAACCAAGGGTGCTTTGGTTTGCACCAAATGAGGAGAGAAAGAAAGAGAAGAGGGAAAGATTTGAGGGGAAGGCACACGTGAAGTACAGCACAGATGTCCAGTGCTCAGGAGGAAGCTGTGAACGAGGTGAGAGCTTGCAGGGTTGTGTGTGTGAACGTGTTCCTCAGAGCTGAGGGGACCAAAGCAGGGGGCTTGGGGCTGGGTCCTTGCGAGTCGCCTCTGCCCCGTCTCTCAAACATCTCCACCATGCTGCCCAGACTACCTTGTGTTCCAGTCAGCCGATAGGTCCCACTGCTTCTGTTGGTCCTCAGTTCTGACGTGGGAGCTCCAGGCACCTCTCTGGTTCGCTAGTAGTAGTACCTGGAGGCAAGCAGGCCTCCCAGCAAAGCAGCTCTTGTAAGCTGTTTCCCAGTCTGCCCAGCACTGCCAGAAGCAAATGACATAAGTCAGCTCACCCGGGAACGCTTGCAAGGACCCCAGTCTTCATTTCTGAGGTCTGGACTTCATGTACCCTGAATCCCCTCACCTGGCTGAGGCGTGTGATGGGTTAGTGACTTCAGCAGTCAGAGCGGACTCCCTTCCCCTCCCTGAGGCGGCCCTTCCCTAGGAGTCCACCCAGCAGGGTTTCACTAATTCTCGGAGGCAGTCAGTGCCTCTCCATCTTGTGCCTCAGCCTCACCTCCATGCGAATTCAATCCCGGGACGCTCCTTATCCTGCTGAGCAGGCAGTGTGACAGCTGAAGGTCAGGCACTGCTGGGTTGGGAGGCCCCGTGAGTTTATGGACACTCAGCACTTCCTGAGTCAGCAGCTTCCTTCCCTCCACTTGCCTCCTTTAGAAGGGAGAGGGTTGGTTTGCCTCCAGCACAGGAGGGACCCCTCCCTCTCAGTCATGCCCTGCACTGTGCCCTGAGTGCCACCAAACCCCGCGGAGGCCAGGAAGGGCCCATGCTCAGCCAGTCTCCTTGCCTCATCTTCCCACTCCCCAGGGCAACCCTACCTATAGGATTTTAAACGTTTCTCTTAAATTCCTCTGCAGCTAAGATGATGCGTAGTCACCCCCCAAATGTAGAAAATTCCACAATATTCAAGTTCTGAAAGTGTTTTTGTGTTTTCTCTCTCCGCCAGATCCCAACTCCCACTACGTGATTACGCTGAAAGCCTTTAACCACGTGGGCGAAGGCATCCCTCTGTATGAGAGCGCCGTGACCAGGCCCCACACAGGTACAGCAGTCTCTCTGTCACTGCCCTCTGCCTGGCAGCAGAAGGCCATGTCCGTGGAGGTCAAGGCTGCGGGCCAGCAGTGGGAAAGTGGGCCAGCATCAGGGAAAGGTCCTGCTTTGCCATTTGGAAGATGCTGATCCCATCTCGGGAGCCATTGTGCGTTGGCAGGCGCATAGGTTTTCAGTGTGTGTTAGGATCTAGAAAGGGTACTTGGGAGAGGATCGGTAGTAACCTCCTATCTTCCGAGCCATGTGCGTTATCACCAAAGTCAATCAGAATACGCAAGGCCCTGCGTGTGTCCCGGGCCATGTTAATGAGTGGATGCAGAGGGAACGGTTGGAGCAGCGTGGAGCAGATGTGCTATCTGTCTGATCAGTGACACACTTAACCTGAGACCTGTGAAAACAGTTTTACAGTTAACACACGTTTAATGTGACGTTCCTAGACGTCTATGAAATAGCTGGTTCTGATCGCAGAAAGTTTGTGGAAATAAATAATATCACAGTGTAAAGTTCTGCAGAGAGTGCTAGGAGACTCAGGGCAGATCAGAGCCACCGCCTTCCGTTTGTGTCCCGGAAATCTGGATGCGCAGTCTTCCAGGTGCTTGGTATGGCAGTGTAGATGTGGTGAGGCTGTGTCTAAGATAACTCTGTTCCACTGCCTGGAAGCTTCTGCTCAGACCTGTGCTGCCGCCTCGTCCCGGGGGTTCTGTCTGCTGCTCCTGTGTGCTCAGAATTTGTTTAGAAACAGCATTAGTATTCCAGAAAGAAAAAAAAAAAAGAAACAAGGTCAAAAAGAGAATATTTAAATAAGTAGTCTGCTACCTTCTTAAATTAGCTTGTAATAGGAGGAAAAGCAATTTGAAGTGATTTTCTTTCATCCACCTTAAAAATAGCCTGCTGTTAGGAATGTTCCAAAAAAAAAAAAAAAATGTTCCTAAGTCGTGGAACCCCGCCATCTTGCCCAAGAGCTGATCCTTACAGAAAAATGTTTCCCCATTATTCCAGTGATTTCTGCCCCAACGGTGTGTTTTCTGTAGCCGATCGGCAGGTGTTCCGACAGCCTTGGAACAAAGCCATGGATTCGAGCCTGGGGCGCTTCTTTCATTTCTTGTCCTCGCTGAGCAGGAAGTACACAGAGACTATCACTTGAGCTTGACAGTTCTCCATGAACAAAACCTGTACCGTTTCAGGTTACAAGTTAGAAGGACTAGTGCCTGTCACCATGTGGTAAAGCCTGAATTTAGTCAGCCTCTGTGCACTTTGGAAGGCCTAGGGACACCTAGCTATGCTGCCCCGGGCCACTGACCCTTGGTGCTTCTGTGCTCATTGTGACCCTATGGGCCAGTGTCAGAGAAGTACCTGAGTTCAGGAAACCTGTGCCACTCGTCCTGTCCAGGTGAGTCCCATCCTTCATGGGCAGCAGCTCACCTGGCTTGAGAATGGGTAGTGCCCAGCACTTCCTTCTGTTAGCCTGAGACCCAGGACACACAGATAGGAAGCCCTCTTACCCCTGGTACCAGGTTGGGACTCAGCCGTAAGAGAGAGATCCTAAGCCTTCAGTGGTGGGCACTAACAGGTGGGCTCCCAGAACTTGAGCCACACTTGCCGAAGTCCCACGACAGACCAGGAGCTTTCTATGCTTTTTCAGAAATGACAGCCTTAATGTAGAAGCAACTTTTGTCTTTCCATGATCCTTTGGGGAGAGGAGGTAGGATCTTTAAGTTCTTTTTAGGAGAGTTCAAGTGTGAGTAATCCCGTATAATCACTGGATTATCACACTTCCGTATGGCACGGTAGATGGAGAATGTGACTAATTACTCTCCTCTCAGTGTTTTCCTGGAAATTTTCCCTGAGAGAGCACAAGTGGAAATTCGCTTTCATGTGAACAATGTTTATCAATTAACTCTGGATTTTCTCTCTTTTTCTCCATTTCTCACCTTTCATTCCATTATATTACCCCTGCATTTCCCTTTTACGTTTGTTTTCATTAAAATGCCACTTCCTTTTTTAAATTCCCCTCTACCCAGACACTTCTGAGGTTGATTTATTTGTTATTAATGCTCCATACACCCCAGTGCCAGATCCCACCCCCATGATGCCACCCGTGGGAGTTCAGGCTTCCATCCTGAGTCACGACACCATCAGGGTCACCTGGGCCGACAACTCGCTGCCCAAACACCAGAAGATCACAGACTCCCGCTACTACACGATCCGGTGGAAAACCAACATCCCAGCCAACACCAAGTATAAGGTACTTACGCATCCCTTCTGGTGAAGAAAGTGAATCACCAATGCCCTCTCATCTTAAATCCCTGGATTTCATGGGGTCGTTGTTTTTTTTTCCCCTCCAGAATGCAAATGCAACAACCCTGAGTTACTTGGTAACTGGTTTAAAGCCAAATACTCTCTATGAATTCTCTGTGATGGTGACCAAAGGTCGAAGGTCAAGTACGTGGAGTATGACAGCCCACGGAACCACTTTTGAGTTGGGTAAGTGTTCCCGATCATGGCTCCTCTTCCTCACAAGATCAGAAAGGCAGGGCAGGCTGCAAGTGTGGTGGTGCATTCCAAGTCACATGACCAAGGGAGGACCTGAGTGTGTGCGTGAAAATGGGTGTGATTACAGGACAGCATGAGCCACTGCCTTGGGAGCGCTGTGGTGGCTGCTGTTGTTTCAGTCCCTGTTCACAAACACAAGCAGAAGGAGTCTTGAGTGCAGCCCCAGGTCAGCCAGAGGTACCCACTGTGTGGCCGTGAGCAGATCTCCCACCCACTCTGATCTCAGCTTTTTCCTCTCTAACCAAGGGGAATAATCCCTGCCTTTCGTGCTCCGTAGAGTTCTGTGAGCAGCTGAGAGAGCGCAGAGTAAGCTGTTGGCTCAGGCATGTGTAAGGGATTAACATGAAGCCAGACTGCTGGTCCACTGAGACAGTGATGAAGTGACTGTCGGCGACCAAACAGTTGTCACTTCCATACCTGCTAGAGCTACCTTGCAGCTTCCCTAAGAAACAGCAAGTGACTTTTCAGCTCTTCCACTGACATCTGGGATTTCTATTTGTGAGTAGACATGAGAGGGAAATTAAAACGAGAGCAGCTACTAGGGTTGCATAGCCCCATGGCTGTGTGCCTACTTCTAAACCCATCCTTCTGCCTCCTCTGGGACATTCCTCGCTTGGGCAATCTCTGTGTAGCCTTGCCTCCTGTTTCCCTGTCTTGTGTATGAGTAACGAAGACGTGGAACTCTGCACTCTCCCGCACGAGAAGTTGAACAGACTTGAATGTGCTTTTCTTGCTGGTATTTTAAGAATGACTCTTGCTTTCCTCCTAGCCCATTAGCTGACACATGAGGTTGTATTTCCTATTAGGATGTTTGCGTTTGGTGAGGCTTCCTTGCAGTGTTGAGCAGAACAGGGACATTTTGAGAATGTACTTGATCCTCTCAGCCTTAACGTGGAAATCACCAGAAGCGCACCACTGTTCTGATCTCATTGGGTTTTCTGTCATACGACCAAGCTTTACTTTACAGTGATAGCGTCAATACTTGGCAGTATGTTTTGGTTTTCAGGGGGTTGTTGGGACACCTTAAACTACTTAGAACACACACATGCTGTTTCAGAGTGTCTGATTCAAGTCCCAGCTCCTCCACTTCCAGTTCAGCATCCTCAACCTACACACCTGGAAGGCAGCAGGTGCCTGACCTGAATCCCTGAATCCCTGAATCCCTGCCACCCACAGGAAAGACCCAAATGAGATTCCAGGATCAACCCTGTCTATTGCAGGCATTTAGGAAGTAAACTAATCATGGGATGAAAGATTCTCTCTCCCTCCCTCCCTCCTTCCCTCTCTCCCCCAACCATCCTGTTACTCTTCCTTTCAAAAGTAAGCCTCTAAAAAAAAATAATGATAATGGGCCTGGCGCATGTAGCCTAGCAGCTAAAGTCCTTGCCTTGCATGCACCAGGATCACATATGGGCGTCAGTTCATGTCCCAGTGGCCCGTTTCCCATCCAGCTCCCTGCTTGTTGCCTGGGAAAGCAGTTGAGGACGGCCTGAAGCCTTGGGACCCTGCACCCATGTGGGAGACCCACAAGAGGCTCCAGGTTCCTGGCTTCAGATAAGCACAGCTCCACCCATTGTGGCCACTTGGGGGAGTGAGTCAGTGGACGGAAGCTCTTTTTCTCTGTCTCCTTGTCTCTGAATATCGTGACTTTCCAATAAAAATACATTTTAAAAAATAAGAGTCAGGGCCCGGTGACGTGGCCTAGTGGCTAAAGTCCTCACCTTGAATGCACTGGGATCCCATATGGGCACCGGTTTTAATCCCAGCAGCTCCACTTCCCATCCAACTCCCTGCTTGTGGCCTGGGAAAGCAGTCGAGGACGGCCCAAGGCCTTGGGACCCTGCACCCGTGTGGGATACCCGGAAGAAGTTCCTGGATCCTGGCTTTGGATTGGCATAGCATCGGCCATTGTGCTCACTTGGGGAGTGAATCATCAGACAGAAGATCTTCCTCTCTGTCTCTCCTCCTCTCTGTATATCTGACTTTCCAATAAATAAATAAGTCTTTAAAATAATAATAATAATGATGATGATGATAATAAGTCCTATTTGGCTGAGAGAGCCAACCATAAATGGGAGGAAAAACTACTACTTTGCACTTGGAAGTGTTCTAGCCAGATCATGCCCCCTAGTTCTTGTGTCCTGGTGTGTGATCAGGGTAGTGGTTGCTGCCCCTCAGCCAAGGAGGCACCGTCGGTACCAGGCCTGCCTAACCACATGCCCTGACGCCCAGCCCAACCACCAGTCTGTGTCCTTAGAGTGATTTTTTTTTTGACTTTGTGTTAAGCATGTGTGAACACATGCTTGATACAAAATCAGGGAGCTGATTTTAAACCACCTGAGTCCTCTGAGGCAAGAGGCTTCCTCTTCTACCCCTTTGTTGTAGCTTGCAGATGGAAAGGGTGAGGAAATGGTGAATTGAGTGGCAGTGGACAGGGATTGCTGAAAGTGTTGTTGTTTTGTAGTTCCTACTTCCCCACCGAAGGACGTGACAGTCGTGAGTAAGGAGGGAAAACCTAGAACCATAATTGTGAACTGGCAGCCTCCTTCTGAGGCCAACGGCAAAATTACAGGTGAGAGATCCTGGTATGGATGTCGCTCAGTGCCCTGTTCCCACCCGGCAGAAGCATTCCAGGAGAGCATGGTACTGTTGGGAGCTGTGGGAACTGAAGGCCGACTCAGTCATTCTGCAAGCAGTGTGGGTTGCGACCGGCATCAGGATTGGAGCAGGGATGTGTGCCCTTTGCCCACAGCAGGCATGAGCACAGCCGCCTGCTGGTGGTTCCAGCTTGTACCACCTGTGGGGCTGATGCCAATGGGATGCACCAGACAGCTTTGGCTCCCATGGGACTTGACAGATGAGTTTATTTTCCCTAGGCAAAACATTCTTTCTTGGCCCAAATGACCAGCCCTGGGGTCATATCCCTATGCTGTCTTCTTCAGCCTAATAGGCAACAAGTACACACATGGATTCTACTGTTTGACCCTAAATCTAGTGATTCTTCAAAAGTTTTCAAAAACCACATTAGATTTTTAATTCCTTGGTCCCCTGCTTTAGGATTCCATGTCCCCATGTCCTTATCAGAAAAGTAAAAGGTGGGAAATGGCCAAAGCCCCTGGAGGGAGCTGGGATTTTTCCTGGGACTAAAGAGGACCTCCCACAGTGAAGAAGACACTGGCCTGCCTGGCACATCACAGCCGGGCCATTCTCGGAGCCCAGCTCCCCTCCGTGTTGGAGTCCCTCTGTGTGGATGGGGTGGCTTCAGGAAGTGACGAGTTCCCTAGCAGTGTCCTGCTTTGAGCTTCTGTGAGAACCCCTTTCCATAGACATGGGCCTCCTCCTGTAAAATAATCACAGGTCATGTGGTCTGGGCTAGACTCCAGAAGCCTTACCTTTCAGAACCGGTGGTGGAATGACATGCTCAGGAGGTGGGCTTCCTGCCTCTGCGGAGGGGAGGGATTGCCCCCTGATGAGAATGTCAGGGCATCCCCCACCCAAGTCTGAGGAGCCTGCCCTGCTGCTGCTGTCCTGGGAACTCACTTTGGTGAGTGCTAGCACAGCAGGGTGGCCATTGTTGATTTTCAAAACCAGTAATTTACACTTATGTAATCTTAGACCCTAGAGGGTACCTGATTCCAGCATCCTGCTGCGATATGTAAATGACGTGTTAGACACACTCAGACTCACTCATTGCAAGAAGAAAACCAGAAATGAGGTGTTGTCCTGTTCACTCTTCTATACAGGTTACATCATCTATTACAGCACGGATGTGAATGCCGAGATACACGACTGGGTCATTGAACCTGTCGTGGGAAACAGGCTGACTCACCAGATCCAGGAGCTGACTCTAGACACACCGTACTACTTCAAGATCCAGGCCCGCAACTCCAAGGGCATGGGACCCATGTCTGAAGCCGTCCAGTTCAGGACACCCAAAGGTAACACCCAGGCTGTGGCTCTTCCAAGTCTCCAGTAAGGGCTGCTCTGATACAGGTCAGCTCTGCAAACAGAAACCATGGAAGACATGCAAGTCCCTCAGAGGAACATGTGAGCCACCACGTGCAGATGGACCCTACCCACTGCTGACCGCCAGCACTCCCCAGGTTGCAGCCTGGCCGTGTCCTACAAAAGGGTCCTTTGGCTATCGGCCACATGCAGCAGATGAACCACAGCGGTCAGCCAGATGTGGCTGTCCTGGCTGCCATGCAGGGTGACCAGCACACTACGGTGATGGGTGTCCCCCTCTCGACACATGCAGGTTCTTGACCCAGAAGACCGATGTGTGTACATCTGTAGAAAGAAAGAGGTTGAAAAACTCCAGATGAAAAAAAAAAAAAATGAAGATAAAATTTTAATTCACCAAGCGACCTTAGGCCAGTAAAATTCAGTTGGGAGCTGAAACTCTGGAAACACAGAAACCCTAATTTCTTTTCTGTTAGCATTAAAAGCAAGAGTTGGTTTGTTTGAAAGTGTTGGGGGTTTAAATTTTTTTCCTTTGAATATTCTGCTGTCCCACCTTCAAGCTTGTGATCCTTGCTCTTGTTTTTTCTTCCCTGTGCTTGGCCTGTTAGCGGACTCCTCTGATAAAATGCCCAATGACCAAGGTAAATGAGTAGACGGCCTCTCTTTCCTTTTCTCTCTTTTGTGACCTAGTCTTAGCTTTTTATGCCTTTTTTTTTTTTAATTATTCGTGAAAACAATGCCATGTTTTTAAAAAACCCCATGTATTTGTTGGCCCAAAATGGAGTCAGGTCCATTTTTGTGGCACTTGGGGTATGAGGAAAGCCGGTGAGTTCCTTGGGAGCCTGCAGCCTGCGGGAAGCAGCGTTGATGAGGGTCGGGTTGTCCTCACGTCCTGTGACAGTGGTACACGTTGAGTAGAGACGAGGGCAGTCTTCTTACTGTCCCTGGATGAAGAGTTGTAATCAGACCATGTGAACTCCCCATCTTCCTCTCCCTCTACAAACCTGCCCTGCATCTGTCTACGCTGTGTGACTTCCCATGGCTATCTGGAACCAATGTAATTTTTGGTGTTTTTATCACCAGAAGCTTAATTCAGAGCAGCTCATTTTCCATTTCTTCCCTTCAATATCCATATACTAGGTTGTTATAAAAGAGTATAAAAATTATTTAAAATGGAATTTTGGGCAGCATGGAACTCGGTGTCACCGATCTTGAAGCCCTCCATCCGTGCGTGACCTGTTCCCTGGGGCAACTACAGTCAGGGCAGCTTTCCTTCATGAAGCTGGTGTTCACCGAGAAGGAACACCAGGAATAGATATGACGCTTGCTCTCATGGATTCAGACAGTGTTGGGAATGCAGCACCTTGGGGTGTTGTCCGAGGGCAAGAAGTCAGAACTTGAGCTGTTGAGTTTGTATTCAGTGAGTCATTACAAATGTACATGTATGAATATCCCAGCACTCCATTGGTGTGTCACAGAACCTGAGTGTGCTCACCGTTCTCTCACCAGCAAGTATCACTCTTGGGTAAACCCCAAGGTTTGAGTTGCTGGTTAGGATTGCTGGTATGAGGTCCCTCCTTGGGGTTTGGTGCTTACAGTTTATAATACAGGAATGCAAAGCAGCCCGTGTACAGTGTGTGTTCTCTATGACTTGTTCACACAGTACACTCCCGTGAGTAGATTGACTCAAGTGTAGATTGTCTGATAGCACCACACCCTTCAATGCCAAGAGCCTCACAAGTGCTTCCATCTTGGCCGCTGGACCTCATCACACTGAAATGCCAGTGAGAAGTCAACTTTAGCTAAGTCCCTGGGGAGAGGCATTGGCTCCAGTGTGGTCAGTGGAAAGGTTGGACTCTCTGACATAACTTCCAGAAGGGACCCTGCAGGATACATCATGCTCTTTTCCTCTGTCCAGGGTGGGGGTGGGTATTCACCCCTGGATACTCACCATCATGTGCGCTGGACACTGCCTGTGCATAAGGCAGTATTCAAGACATGCTATGCTATTGTTTCCATGTAAGACCCACAACAGTTTCATGAGGAAGATGCAATTATTATCCCTGTTTGACCAGGGAAACTGAGCCCCAAAGGATTGCTTAAGTCCCTTGCCCTTGGACAGATGGACGTAGGTGCTGGAGCCGGTCCTCACCTGCAGTTCAAACACTGCAGGCTAATCATGCTGGGCAGTTTTTACATTGCAATTCTTTCAGGCGTCTTTTCAAGACAAATACTGTACTGCTTTCTGGGTGCCAGGCTTGGGATATGTTTACTTTGTTGGGAAAGAGTTCCTTGTATTTGCTTCATCCAAGAAGTTCTTTGTATAAATGTGGAAAAGTTCAAGAGCAGAATGGAAGAGCAGGTGTTTGTCCTCACGATTCAGATGCCCAGGTCTCACGTCTCAAGTGCCTGGGTTCGATACCTCCCTCTAGTCCTTGAGTTCCAATTCCTGCTCGTGCACGCCCTGGGAGGCAGTGGTAATAATTCAGTGCCTGCCCTCCACTACCCAGGCAAAAGATCTGTGGCCTGCTGAGTTTCTCCCGGCTTCAGTCTCAGCACAGCCTCAGCCTCTGCAGTCATGCAGGAAGTGAACAGCGTATGAGTGAGCATACCTATAGTCACTCTGTCCCAACTCGAAACAAATAAAATAAAAAACAACCAAAAACAACAAATGTTGGCAAGTATTGAGGGCTGCTTCAGGGTGACCCTAAGACTGAACAAGATCAGCAGGCCTACTCAGCAGAGTGGGCGACGGTGCGCTCTGGGAACCACCGGAGGGAGGCCCGTTTCCCCCTTTGGCTGTTTGCTGGCTGAGCAGGTACCAAGAGCCTGGGTTGCACCTCCACTCAGAGCAACTCCCTATTGCAGAGGCACCTGGAGCATGGTGGGTGGCACCTGCAGGCCAGAGCAGCCAGGCTGGGTTCCTTGGAAGGGAGCCATTCCTGAGTGCAGACATTCACCTGCCTGGTGCCCTTAAACCCTTTCTCCAGCAAAGCGACTTCTGCCCCACAGTCTCCTAGCAGGCCTTCAGGCTTCCTGGGCTGTGTTGTCACCCCAGAACAGCTAAGTGGCAGAGCCATGGTGCAAGCCATCAGCCCTTCAGATCCCTCACTGCGCAGAAGGTATGCCTCCCTCGCTTCCCGTCCCTTGTGTACTGCTCCATTTTCTCAAAGGCAGAGTAGACTGTGCGTGCTTTCAGGTGAAGAATGCACGGAGCTGGCAGTACACTGCTCACCTGTTGTCCTCTGCTTCAGCCTCAGGGTCTGCAGGAAAAGGAAGCCGGCTGCCGGACCTGGGATCCGACTACAAACCTCCAATGAGCGGTAAAGGCCTTCTCTTGGCTTTTTTTGTCCTCCTGGGGATGTGAGACAGTTTGGCTGAAACCTGTGTGTGTGATGTCTGCCAGCATGTTGACCTGTTTCCTTTTGTTCAGTACATCTACCATTAAGTGTTTTCTGGCACATTTGCTGAGTTTCCAGGAACCCATTCATTAAGGCTCCGTAAATAAAACTGGTTTCCCCAAATATACCTAGGCTAAGATGAGGTTAGCTCCCTGCAGATCATGATTCTTGTCCCCTACTGCCTCCAGAAAAGAGTTAGCGTTTTGTTTTCAAAAATAAACCAAGTGGCATTCACCATCGCACGAAACAAGCCAGGAAAATACTTGGGAATCTTCAGGGTCTCCCAGCACTGCTCAACATTTTGTTTTTTCAGTTTGGAGATTCTAGGACATTCTTTCCAGTGTCCTAGCCATCGTAAGAGTTGGCTTCTTCCAGACTGGTAAGGACCCCACCTTCTCTAAGGACACCGTCATTGGTAGGCTTTATTCTGCACAAAGTCACATTGGATGCTCGTGTCCCAGAGACAGAAAGGAGGGGAGCCACAAAGGTGGAACAGAGCCAATCTGTGACAAATTGAGACCAGTGCTGAGTGAGTGAGTGTCACCATGAGTGACAGGGCAACTTCTCCTCAATGAAGAATGAGTGGGAGGCTGAGAGCACGAAGCTTGGAAGGAGTGCCTGTGGAAAGCTGAGAACGAGCCTGGCCATGGTGACCTCGATAGCCTGAGAAGGAAGCTTTTGTCCAGCTCCAGTGTCAAGAATCTAGGACAGTTGTGTAAAAACTTGCCACCCTCTACAGCAAGCGGTGCCTGGTGTGCCACGTTCCCTGCACCCCTGGTTCAGCACCGCTGATGACTGCTCAACTGTCCTGAAACGGGACACCAGGACCAGCTCTGATTTTAGCGAAGGTTACTGTGTGCAGCTGAGGTTTCTTGCTGCAAACCTTGTTCTCAGAACTAGAGAGAAAAGCAATTGAACCAAAGAAGAGTAAGCCCTTAAACCCTTCTAAATCAGCTCCAGCTTCAGCACAGGGTAGCCTGTAAGATGGGTGCGTCAGCGTTGGAGGACAGCTGATCCAACCCCAGGCCACGGGCTGCTGCAGTGAACATGATTTGGCTCAGCTGGCCCATGTGTGGGAGTCATTTGAGTCTTTCAGGAACATAGACACCCAGCCCAGCCTTCCTGACAGGAGCCACCTCCCCAGTGCCAGCTGGTCACACAGTTCAAGTCACCACCATGTCGTATAGCTGCAGTGGGCATTTAGGAAAGACACCACATGTTTGTGGCAGAGTTTACCATGTTTTATGTTAGCAACATGTGTGACTTAAATAATGAGAAGTAAATGATGAGGAGAGCATAAGTCCCTGATTTAAAAAAAAAAAAAACTGTATCTCAACTTCTCAACTCATTAGTTAATAATCTATGCCTTTATTGTTTGTTCCGCCCCCAGCATGCACATCTTTGCTATCCACCACTGCACCCATCGCACCTAGAGAGGTGGTTGGTCCCAAGTACCACTTAGTGAGCTCCTGCAAGTTAGCACACGTGGTCAGGCCTCCTCTGCCTTGCAGCTGAGTGAGGCAATTACCTCTATGTATTCATGAGAACAGATTGTATTTCTCAAGTGATTCTTTTCTATATATAATCTCAGACACCCGCATATTGCGGAAAACCATGCCTCGCTTCATGAATGTACATTTTAATAATGGTTCTGAGTCACGTGGGCGCCAATGGGGCAGAGCCCTTTGTCCACATCTGACATTCTTTGGTCATCCCTGGCCATTAGGCACCTCACCCACCCTCGTCCCCAAGCACACACTCAGGACAGACTCAGCTCTAGTCTGCTGCCTGTACTGTCATGCTAAGACCAGGCCCAGGGAGGAGCGACACAGAGGCCCTGCTCTTGGCAGACCCTCCTGCTGCCACTCTATCTGTTCTCCATGCTCACTGTGTCCCGTTCTCCCCGTGCAGGCAGCAACAGCCCTCACGGGAGCCCCACGTCCCCACTGGACAGCAACGTGCTGCTGGTGCTCATCGTCTCCGTGGGCGTCATCACCATCGTGGCCGTCGTCATCATTGCCGTCTTCTGCACCCGGAGAACCACCTCTCACCAGAAGAAGTAAGGACTCGGGTGTCTGTGTGACTTCCATCTTAGCAGTGGCACAGAGCTGAAGCGTGCAGGACGTGAGAAGCAGTTTTATGTGTCGTCAGTGGCCTCTCTGTGGGCCTGGCTCCCTCAGAAACAGTTCCAAAGGGACCTCGTACCAGGTCAAAGCTAGAGGTTGGGGAAGCGAGGCAGAGGTGGTCAAGGCCTTGCATCCTCACCCAGAGGTCTGTAGGGACAAGGAGAAGGGTATGGTCAGAGGACTGAGGTGATAGAAAGCAGAAACTGATGGCAGCAAGAGAAACGGAGCTTTTGCCAGCACCCGCTGTCACACTGATGCGGTAGGTGGGGTTCACATAGCTCGTCCGCAACTCAAAGAGCCAGGCAGAGAAGATTTGCAGCTAGGAGAGCAGAGGAGGCCCCTATGCCACCGTGAGCCTGACATGTACCAGGCAGAAGTGGTCCCGGTGCCATTGTGAGCCTGACAGGTCCATGGCTGAGGTGGCCCCTGTGCCACTGTGAACCTGAGGGTACAGAGTGCCCAGATTCCAATCTCCCTCCACTCCCAGTCCCAGCTTCCTGCTGGTGTGCATCCTAGGAGACAACAAATATTGTGTGTAATATTTGGGTTTTTGCCACCCATGTGAGAGACCTGGACTGAGTTTCCAGCTCCTGGATTTAGCCTTGGCTCAACCCTTGCTGTTATAGGCATCTGGGGAGTCAACCAGGGAATGGAGTGTCTCTCTGTCTCTGTCTCTCTCTCTCTTCCCGCCCCCAAGTAAATGAAGTAAAAAATTAAGTATGTATGTATTTTTTAAGCTTTATTTTTACTGGAAAGGTAGATAAGATTTCCAGAGAGAAGGACAGAGAGAAAGATCTTCTATCCGCTGGTTCACTCTCCAAATGGCTGCAATGGCCAGAGCTGAGCCAATCTGAAGCCAGGAACTAGGAGCCTCCTCTGGGTCTCCCACACAGGTTACAAGGTCCCAAGGTTTTAGGCCGTCCTCGACTGCTTTCCCTGGCCACAAGCAGGGAGCTAGATGGGAAGTGGAGCAGCCAGGACATGAACTGGCACTCATATGGAATTCTAGAGGATGCAAGATGAGGGTTTAGCCATTAAACCATCATAATGGGCCCAAAATTTGAATATAATTTTAAGGAAGTGGTCCCAAGTAGGGGTGGGATCATGTTATTGAACAAGAAAGATTATCAGTATAACAGTCTTCCAAAGAGATCAAATGGCTGAAGTCTCCTGGAATATCAAAGTTTGTGGCTCAAGTGCTGCAAGAACAGATAGCAAGTCCTTTCTGATATGCGCCTGTGTTTGGTGCAATGCTTCCCACTGCCAAGTGTGAGAGAGTCCCTGACCTTGAGTCTCATTCGGCTCACAGATCTCATTTGACCTGCAGACCCAGGTCAGAGCTTATATCTGTCCTGACCAGCAAAACATAATGAAGAGGGAGATTTCCAAGTTACTCCTAAAAGCAGAAACACGATGTGACTAGTAAAGGCAACTTGAGCTAAAATATCAAAAAAAAAAAAAAAAAAAAAGTTGAGGAGAGAAATTCACATCTTTGAGCTTTACGGTCCATTCAAACTTTGGTCCACACCAAGCAAGGATACCATGTGTTGGCTAGTGATGGATTTATTGTCAGTGTACAGGGCAGATGTAAGAGACTCTAATTGCTGCTTGAAATGACTTCTTATTTTCTTGTGTTATGTTATGGTTGAAATATTTCTTCCGTTTATTAGATAGGTTGATTTGGATGGCAGAGCAGCTGAGTGAGAGGGAGAGACAGAAATCTTCATCCACGAATTCACTCCCCAAATGCCTGCCCCAGCCCTGTGTTAGCCGCATGAGTGACAGAAGCCCAAGCCCTTGACCATCCTCTACTGCCTGCCATTTGCATTAGCAAGTGCTGGAGAAGTTAGGAGTAGACCAGGCACTCCCTGCTTGGATCTCTCTGTTGTATCAATAAGAGCTTTTTGGTTTCTTGATAAAGGGGATTGTTTCATGTCATCTGACACTCCCGATTTGCTTTTCAGTGCTGAAAATTTCTCTGAAAAACCTCAAGGACTACGGTTTTTCTGCTCTAGAACTTCTCTGGCCAGCTTGTTTGCTTGCCATTTCACATTTGTCCATCTTGGTGAATTTAACTCTCTATCTGGTTTTAGAAATCTCTCAATATTTTAATTTTTAAAAAGAATTGAGGGCCTGGCATGATAGCATCGTGGTTAAAGTCCTTGCCTTGTACGCGCCAGGATCCCATATGGCTACCGGTTCTAATCCTGAGCAGCCCTGCTTCCCATCCAGCTCCCTGCTTGTGGCCTGGGAAAGCAGTCGAGGACAGCCCAAAGCCTTGGGACCCTGCACCTGTGTGGGAGACCCTGGCTCCTGGCTTCGGATTGGCTCAGCTCCAGCCATTGCAGCCACTTGGGAAGTGAACCATCAGACAGAAGATCTTCCTCTCTGTCTCTCCTCCTCTCTGTATGTCTGCCTTTTCAATAAAAATAAATAATTTTTTTTTTAAAAAAAGAATCGAAAAACCAAAGTAACAGAATTTCCTTAGTGTTTAGAAAGCTTTTCAAATTCAAAATAGATTTTTAAAATGAAGTGCTGAGCCTTTAGGAAGATGAGTTGGGAAGAACCTCTCTACTCCACATTTCAGTCTACAGGTGGTACAAATTTGGGTAGCTCTGTTCAGATCACTGTGAAGGGGCAGTGACACAGATGCCCATCCCCTCATGCTGGAGCATCTGAGCCCCAGCTCCTGACTGCAGCTTCCTCACGGGCTGAGACCTTGGGAAGCAGTGGTGATGGCTTAAGTGACTGCACCCCTGCCATCTGGGTGGGGACCTGGACTGAGTTTCTGACTCCCAACTTTAGCCTGGTGCGCACACACACACACATACACACATACAGTATCAGGCTTCTTCACAAACATGCAGTATCAGGAGACACACACACACACACACACACACACACAGTATCAGGCTTCTTCACACACATGCAGTATCAGGAGACACAAACACACACACACACACACACACACACACACACACACTCACACTCACACTCACTCACTCAAACTTCTGCCCTAAAGAATCTTGGCCTCAGAATCGGTAGAGCGTGGGTTTACTCTGCTGCCTGCTGCCAGTGACAGGATCACAGACTAGCTGAGCTGGCTGGAGGGGAGATCTGTTCTTGCTTGCGGTCTGGAGATACAGGACCTAGCAGACACATCTGTGGTGGCTTGTTGCTGGCTGAGCCCCAAGGCAGCAGAGGACGTTGCATAGGGACCATCTGTATCGCTTCCCATCCTGTCCTGAAAATATTCTTTCTGTCTCTCTGTCTTTGGCACAAAGGACAAGCAGGAGAGTGCCGGAGTTATTCTAGGCCAAAGGTGGGAGCTAGGAACTCAGTCCCATTCTCCCATGTGACAGGAGCCCAGTTACTTGAGCCATCACCTGCTTCCTCCCAAAGCATGCTTTTGCAGGAGGCAGAAATCAAAAGGGTAGGTACTTGGACAGTAGGTAAACCCTGCCGAATGTCCACCTGGGCACAGTTTATTGGTTTGGATTTTTGTTTGTTTTTTCCCTGAGTACTTTGAATTTCCAGCTGCAAGACTCCCACATTCAAAGAGTTGACTACTTGGTTATACTCAGCTTGTTGGCCTCCTTGCTGCCCACTCAAGCAACGGTCTAGGCACTTTACCTCCCCTTTCACCGGGATGGCTTCTGCTGAGCTCACAGGTGACCTCCATACTGCTGGAGCCAAAGGCCACGTTCATTCCTTCCCCCGGGTCTCCCATCAGTGTGAACAGAGCCAGCCCTATGCTGCTTTCTAAAGCATTCTCTTCTCTCACATCCCGGGCTCATGCGTTGCCTTTCACAGCCCCTGCTGCCCTCCCAGTCTCAGACACGGACATTTGTGGCCTGTCCTCCCCCTGTGCTTGGCCTTCCGCTAGCCATCGTCCAGCATCTCCTGTACGTCTGTCTCCAGCCACAGCCTGTCCTGCTGAGTGTCAGACTGTGCACCCCGTGGCCTCTCCCACATCTCTTGAATATTTTAGGAGCACTTCGAACTCCAAATGTCCAAAACCAAGACTCTTAGCTTCTTGGACAAACTTATCTCTGCCCCACTCTTGCCAGAATTAGAGAGTAGCTTAAATCAAAAACCTTGCTTTTTCTTTCACCCCCACACCCCACTCTGCATCCAATGATTCTCCTAGTTCTGTCATGTCTACCCCTTCTTCCATCTCCACCACCCTACAACCCATCGGTCCTGGTTGATTTACCACCATGGCATTCTAGTTCTTTGCCCTGTCATACACTTTTTAAATATATTTCATTCATTTATTTGAAAGAGTTAGAGAAAAGGATAAATACAGCTAGAGATTTTCCATCCCTGGTTTATTTCCCAAATGGCTGCAATGGTTAGGGCTGGGCCAGGCCAAAGCCAGAAGCCTGGAACTCCCATGGGGTCACAGGAGCCCGAAGCACTTAGGCTGTCTTTCACTGCACTCTCAGGTGCATTAGCTGGGAGTTGGACTGCAAGTAGAATAGCCAAAACTCAAACCAGCACCCCAGGGGGCAGCTTAACCAGCCACACCATAATGTGGGCCCCTGCTGGGCACTTTGGATCCAGAGCTGGCCACCTTACTCTCCTGCCTGCATCTGTCCCACGGCTTCTCATTGTGCACAAGGAAATACCAGCTGCTGGCATTATTCCAGAGCCCTGTCTGCCCTGGCCTCTGACCCGCTCCCCACATTATCTCCCACAGTATCCTCTGGGTTCACCCTGCCTCACCTCACCGCCACAAGTCCCCATGTCGCACCAGGCTGTTGGCTCTGTGTTTCTTAACGCTTTGACTAGAGCCAGTCCTGCCACTTGGAGCATGCTCCATGTCTTCTTTAGGTCCTGGCTGAAATAGCACTGCTTCTTCTAGACCTTTCCTGTCCATCTTTGAGAGGTATCTGAACACACAACTGGTGACCATGAAGCTCATCATTCAGTGTCTTCTACATCAAACAATAGCCTAACATACTTGGTGAGTGGGTGAATAGCAGGTGCTGCCATCGCCCCCGACTGCCCAGCTGAGGTCCTGGTTAGGTCACCTAGAAGTCAAATTCCTCCTCTCTCCTGGCCCCTCCTCCTCCTCAAGCCCCAAGCGATACCTCGGCCCCAGAGCTATGTTCCCACTAAATTCACCTTCTCTCTGCTAATGTGGGGAACTTCCTCAGGAACCTTGGAGTCACAGAGCTGTGTTTGGATGTACCCTGGCGCAGGCTCCTCACATGAGGCGGGCAGAGGAGAGCTTGTGTGCTCTTTCCAGAAGGGAATTTCTTGTCTGCCATTTCTGGTTTTGGGTGGGTGGGTGTGTTTTCTACCTTTGCTTTGAGCTCCTTCCAGCAAGGCAGTTTTACTTCATTGACCCTTTTTGACCAAGGTGTTCAGAAAAGTTAAGTCAAAAAGGAAAAATCTTGGGTCCGGCATGGTAGCCTAGCAGCTAAAGTCCTTGCCTTGCACACGTAGGAATCCCATATAGGGGCTGGTTCTAATCCCAGCCACCCCACTCCCCATCCAGCTCCCTGCTTGTAACCTGGGAAGGCAATCAAGGATGGCCCAAAGCCTTGGGACCCTGCACCCACATGGGAGACCTGGAAAATGCTCCGGGCTCCTGGCTTCTTATCAGCTCAGCTCCAGCCATTGTGGCCACTTGGGGAGTGAATCAGTGGACAGAAGATCTTCCTCTTTGTCTCTCCTCCTCTCTGTATATCTGAATCTCCAATAAAAATAAATAAATCTTTTTAAAAAAAATATTTTAAAAAGGAAAAAAATCTCTTCCTCTCATTCCCAGGAAACGCGCCGCCTGCAAGTCAGTGAATGGCTCCCACAAGTACAAAGGGAACTCGAAGGACGTGAAGCCCCCAGACCTGTGGATCCATCACGAGAGGCTAGAGCTGAAGCCCATCGCCAAGTCTCCAGACCCCAACCCCATCATGACGGACACCCCGATCCCTCGCCACTCTCAAGACACCACCCCCGTGGGCACCTCCTCGGACGGCAGCACCCACCAGAGGCGGAATTCCTACAGAGGTAGTGTTCTAAGGGCGGACCCGCTCCCCCAGGAGCACTGGGTCACCCCAGTCAGAGGTCATGTCTCTCATCAGGCCTCAGCCTAGCACAGCTCACATCTGTGCGTTTCCCTCCGTCCCTGTTGCTGGGCCCCTGCTGTTGTGTATTGCCGAGAATGCTCTTGATTTGGGCATCCCCGCCTTCAGACATTGTGCTGAGGTGTGGTATGGGTAGCCTGCGTCGTCCTCATCGTGGTGTTTGTGGGTCCAGAGTCCCCCAGGAGAGGCTGTAGCTGAGCTGCGGAGTGGCTGACCTCCGTATTTCCTGTCTTAGGACATGAATCAGAAGACAGCATGTCTACACTGGCTGGCAGGCGGGGCATGAGACCGAAAATGATGATGCCCTTTGATTCTCAGCCACCCCAGCGTAAGTACGAGCTTCACTCTGACCCGGAGTGCCATCTTCCCACCATGCTGGGAAGCAGCTGGGAATGATCCCTGGGACTCTGCTGGGTCCCAGTACAGTTGCTGTGTTTTGCATTGGTGTTCTCGTTCAGTGGCTGATAAGAGGAAAGCCCATTTCCCCAGTCTCAATCCAGGGCCCGGTGTCCCTGGAAGAGGGGGCTGAGGGACACAGGTGTCCAGTCCCATGAGGTCAGCAGCATGGAATCCTCAAAACAACATGCACCGGCTCTCACTGACCCAGGCATCATTTTGACAAACATGCAAATTACTGAGCTCCCTGTCATAGTCCAAGTCCAAAATGAGTTAACTAACTAGAAACCAAAAAGCCCTGGGACAAACCTGTTGTTTTTCATCCACTACTGTGTCACTGCCACTGCGTCTCCATCGACAGAGGAAGATGTTTAAATGGCCAGGATGTCCTAGTCATGGGGAAGGCACAAGAGCGTCCTGTGCTTGGGAAAGTCCTCTTGTGCCCCTTTTGGGGGTGCCTCCCAGCATGTGGGTGTCTCCTATGCCCCCCCACATACACATAGATACGTAATATGTAATCCACACAAACAGACACATAAGCCACACACACCCACCCCCTACTCACAAACACACAACCAAGCAGGTGCCAAGCTACAAAGCTCAGCTTGTGGAGTGAAGCCCTGTGTATTAACAGGTGCTTTCTGTGTAACTGGCTTGCATGGGGGATCTGTGAAGTGAGAAAGGCCTTGGCCCAGAGCCACAAGTGCAGGAGTGAGGTAATCCACCCCAGTTGCTTTGCATTTGTGATAAAACGGGAGCTTCGCTGCTTGATTTTTTTTTGTTGTTGTTGGTGGTTTTGTTTTTGTTTTGATACGGCTTCAATTCCTGCCTCAATTTACTTGTTTTTGAATTGTGTAGAATTTGACTTCTCTCCAGTTCCAAATTGATTACTTTCAAATATGTTAAGAAAAAAAGGTGTTATACTAGTTTATCTTATTCTTTTTTTGTGTGTGTGGTGATAATGGAGACGAACTTCACAAGTCTGTGACATAATTTCATTTGCACCTTGGCAGGTGGATGAGGAGTAAAATTTTTTAACCCAAAATCTGAGACCTGGTACCCAGATAATGCTTATGGTCTTTAGATTTTGTGGGCAATTGCCCCTGGGTCTGCGCCTGCTGCTGTGTGCCAGCTAGGCTTTGAGACGTCCTTTCCAAAACCCAGAAAATCCAGGAGCCCCTGTGTTCTGGGTCCTGGTAGGACACTGGAACGTGGCACCCAGCATGCACTCGCCCTGGTCTGGGATGGCTGAGGAAGAGCTTGTGGGCCTCAGGTGAGGTGCCCCAAGGGTCATGTTCAGAGTCCATTAATAACTGCTGTGTCCTCCTGGGTGGGCAGGCTGATGTTTTCGTTTTCTGTTCAGTTATTCAGAAAGACTGAAAATGTAAAAAGAGTTAGTTTTATTTTCCATACCTAGCACACTTTGAAACTGCTTCCTGGGTAAAATGCAGGAAAGGCTTTCTCCCTCTGTCCAGCCTGGATTTTGAAAAATGCTGGTTCTGAAGCACTGCCTGTGGCAAACCCCCAACTTTCCGCAGAACAATTGTAGGTGCCCCAAGGACCCAGGGGCCATTCTCCCCAGCCATGGGCCAGCTGAGGCCTGTGGCATCAGAGCTGTGGCCTGTTTTGCTCATCGAGCCCTGGACAGATGAGTCCTAGATGAACTGACTGTCTTCCTGCGTTGCACATGGCCAGGGCAGGAAGGCAGGACAGCCATTTTCCAGACTGGGATTTCCCTTCACGCAGTGCTGTTGGCAGGTGTCCCTGGAGACGGGCATCCGGGGGCGGCACAGGACTCAGGGAGTCATAGCATAAGGCTTGCAGAGAACTTGCTCAAAGACGCTCCCCCATGTTCCTGGTGAGGCTGGCCTGTTTACCTGTCTGGGGAGTTTAAATCCTCGGTCTCGACAGCAGCCCCAGGATGCTGGGCTTCTGATTTTGCTTGCATCCCTGGGATGAACAGTGGCGCCTCATGGGGGCTCTTCATGTTTCCAGAAAGCTGCATGTAGAATTACTGTATGGAAATATGGATTCTACAGTGAATTGAACCACTCCACTTTTTTTTTTTTTTTTGAGAGAGAGGTATCCTGTCCCCTGGTTTACTCCCCAGATGTCCACAACAGCAAACAGAACTCCTGGATCTCCCACATAGGTGGCAGGGGTACAGCTACTTGAGCCATCCTTACCTGCTGCCCCCAGGGTGCACATCAGCAGAAGGCCGAGATGGAGAGTCCGTCCTAGGCACTCCAGCATGGAATGCGGGTATCCCAAACAGTGACCTCGCTGCTGGGCCAGATGCCTGCCCCAATCCATTTAAAAATGCAACTGGGCGTGGCTGAGTCCCAGACAGAAAGGAGTGAGAGTAGTTCATGTTTTTTCAGTACTAGGTTGGGGCTTGTTTGTCTTCCTTGGAGATATGAAACCCGATTTAAACAGCTACTGAATTATTTGGCCATAATAAGTACCCATAGCATGACTCTTTCAGCAAAAAAAAAGGTTGACTGGACTAGGAATCATGTTCCCTAGGCCAGGGTGTGATGGAGGAAGGGGGAAGTACTTATATCGCTTGAACAACACAAAGCCATTATGTGTTTGTTTATGGGTTTATATTCAAGCAGCTATTGTTGATAACTCAGGTAATCTGTGTTTATAATAGGAAAATTGCAAATATAGATAAGTCAAAAGAAAAACAATCTTCTAATCCTGATTGCTGTTCCAGCAGAATAATGTTAACGTTTTTGAAAACGTGCGTGGTCCTGTGACCTTTTTTTTTCCCAGCACACATGTAGACATATGCATAGGGCGGGCGGGCGGCGGGGCTGTTCATGTTTTTTGTTTTCTAAAACCAACATAAAACTGGTGGCTGCTTGTTCGGCTCCAGCAACCAGCACAGCCGTGGTTGGACGGTGGGAGGGGGAGGTGCAGCTTTGCTGTTAAACTGTGAATTGTGTGTGTCTGTGCAAGTGTGTTAAGCCTCTCTCTGTCTTGTGTTCATTCACAGCTGTGATTAGTGCCCATCCCATCCATTCCCTCGATAACCCTCACCATCATTTCCACTCCAGCAGCCTCGCTTCTCCAGCCCGCAGCCATCTCTACCACCCGGGCAGCCCATGGCCCGTGGGCACGTCCATGTCCCTTTCAGACAGGGCCAATTCCACAGGTGAGAGATGAGGGTCGAGCCAGGTGGCAACGCCTTCCACAGGAGTTGGCAAGTGGACGTGGGAAGGGCCTGCCCGCCTTAGAAGAGGGGTCTGGAACTTTGCTCACTGTGACTGATTGATCATGCATTGATGTGTCCGCCCGCCCAAGTCTGCTTTTGTAAAATCCACAGCTTTTTCCTCCCAGAGTGGAGTGCTCAGTGCAGATGCCACGCTAGTGGACGGCGGTAGTGAACCCCTTCAGCACCTCCTGTCTCATGAGACTGCATCTTGATGAACTTACTGTATCTCCAGCAACTTGATTTCTTCCAGTCCTCCAACATAAAAGGAAAACTTGCCCTGGGGTGATTTTCAGGCACCAACAGTGGTGACCTGTGCCCTGTAGGTGCCCTGGCAGTGGGAGGAGTCATTAGGAAGGCCGTTGGGCACAAGTCCCATCTACCGTGGGAAGAGCAGAGGGTGTGAGACCTGCAGCCACAGGGAGCTGGTGCACATGGCTGACTGTGGTTGCTTGTGCACCAGAATTAGGAAGAGCACGCACAGATAGGAAGTCAGTATTTAAAGAAGCTGGAGGCACTTACAGCCCATTGCTCATGTTAGAAAACAGTATTGTCACAGTCTAACGACGTGGGGGGATGGGAGTGGGTGGGAGGGTCAGGGGACAGTAAGTAGAATCAATGTGTTTGATCAACATTAGTTGAAAATGTATCCACATTCTGGCGTTGAGTCACTGAAAACTGCCAAGAGGCAGTTATTCTGTCACCCTAGGGCTAGATTTTGGGATTCTGGGAAATGAAAGAATCTCAGATGAGTTCCATTTGTTTTTAAGATTTATTTATTTTTATTGTAAAATCAGATACACAGAGAGGAGAGACAGAGGAAGATCTTCCGTCCATTGATCCACTCCCCAAGTGGCCACGATGGCTGGGGCTGCACCAATCCAAAGCCAGGAGCCTCTTCCAGGTCTCCCATGCAGGTGCAGGGTCCCAAGGCTTTGGGCCATCCTTGACTGCTTTCCCAGGCCACAAGCAGGGAGCTGGATGGGAAGTGGAGCTGCCGGGACACGAACTGGCACCCATATGGGATCTCGGCACATGCAAGGCAAGGACTAAAGTCACTAGGCTACCACACCAGGCCCAAGTTCCATTTTTAAAAACCTCAAAAACTATGCTAGAGGTTTACATTACTGGTAACATCCCCCTCGTTAAATTAATTAGCTAATTTCTTTCTTTTTCTTTTTAGTGTCTATATCTCATCTACTTATAAGACAGGGAGAGAAAAGTTTTCCATCTGCTAGGTCATTCCACAAATGCCAGCAACAGCCAGAGCTGGGCCAGGCCAAAGCCAGGAGCCAGGAACTCCATCCAGTCTCCCATACGGGTGACAGGGGCCCAGTACTTGGCCATCATCCATTGCCTCCAGGCACATTAGCAGGAAGCTGTATGAGAAGTGGAGTCACTGGAACTTAAAGAGCCGGCGCTCAGATATTGGGATACAGGAGTCTCAGGGGCAACTCAACCTGCTGTATCACAATGCCTACCGGTTGTTTCTCCATTTTTAAGGCTGAGCAGTCCCCTCGCATGGTGGGTAGCCAGCTTTTCTGAGTGGATCAGTGTCTCCTTTCAGCTCCCCATGGCTGGGCTGGGGTGAAAGAGAGCACCCACCAAGTCCTTGCCCACACAGTCTGATGTTCATGGATATCCCCTCTCCTACACAAAGAGCAGAGGAGGGGAAAGTTCATGGTTTATGATGTAAAAAGACTTCCTCTTTAGTGACTAGAGGGGGTTAAAGAAGGTAAATCTTCAAGGATAGACTGACTAAAGAGCCATGTTTGAAAGGGTAGGGCAAGGGTCTGGATCTAGCCCTAAGTTTCTGCTGTGGTGTTTCCCAAGTCCTTGTGACGTGGAGCTGCCAGGGTGGCCCCTTCCTTGAGGGCATCAACTGTGTTGTCCCTGCCTGGTCAGGAGGAGCCCTTCCCAGGGGGTATGCACTTGGCCAGTGAAGCGTAAATGTCTTCACTCTCAAGAGGTCAGTCAGCAAACAGACCAAGTTGCTGAGTAGACCAGTGGTGGTGGCCAGCGCCGGAAGTCCCCTCACAGAGAGTGCCACATGCTGGATGCCCTCAGCAGCTGTGCCACCCACACGCCCTGCTCTGCAGCTGCTGGCCTGGGCTCTGGCTTGTGAAGGCAGTCCCTCCCCACTTAGTTCACCTTTCCGGCCATCTCCCAGGCCTTCAGGTGTTTACACTCAAGATGAAGGCAGATGAGGCAGCCCAGGTAGGCAGTGCCCAACACTAACCTTGCATTCCTACCATTACTGGCTGAATGATCAGCACTCGAGCCACCTTTTGTTGCTCACTGACCCAGAATCACAAGGACCAACAGCAGGTCCCTACCCATAGTGAAGGATTTAGCAAGCCTGAGAAGTAGGGTCATCAGAAACAGCATCTTGAGACAGCTGGAAGTGATGGGCCTACTTGGCCTAGCATAGCCAGCCACCCTTGGGAAGGGCAGAAGGCCTCATCCCAGGGACACAGCCTCCAGCAGAGGAAGTGGCCCTCAAAGCCAGCATGGCTGTCTCGGGCATGAAGATGTGGAAGGAGGCAAACACCTGCACAACACCTAGAACCTTCCAGCCCCACTGCTGGGCTACCCGCAGGGTGGAGACATTAGAGTGCAGCAGCCAGTGTCCACAGAGGCCTCCTCTTTCCTCCTGGCTAGCGTGCTGCCTCTGCCCACAACATGCAAGGTAGCACTGAGCATGGACAAACCACTGAGCTGCCAGTGACTCCGAGCCTGTGCACAGGAGCCTGCGTGTCCCAGCACAGGTTCCGTCCACTGTTTCCATGGGAGTGGGCAGACTGCCTCTCCTCCTAGGCTGCCCTGAGGACCGCAGGAGCTGAGACGCTAAAGTTTGAGCTGCATCAGTCGTGCTGCACTGCACACTGCGCTTAATTCACGGCCCCGTTGGGTCCTCGGGCGATTAGGTTACATTTTCAGTTTCATAGACACAGTGAAGATATGGAGACTCAGAGATGTGATTTTGCCAAATCTACCCACTAGTTTGCCAGCATTGGAGCCAGGTCTGTCCGATGCCAAGGCCAGAGCTTTTCTCACTCTACCATTCTGCCCTCCGACTATTCTGACCTCTCATAGTCTGAGGTCATGTTCTCCCTGAGTCTCCCTGCTCCGAGTTAATCTACCCTGTCTTTTTGGTCTGTTTGCTTGTTTTTTAATTTTTTTTTAAGATTTATTTATTCTTATTAGAAAGACAAATTTACAGAGAGAAGGATCTTCCAGCTTCTGGTCCGCTCCCCAAATGGCCACAATGGCCAGAGCTGAGCCAGTCTGAAACCAGGAGCCTCTTCTGGGTCTCCCATGTGTTTTCAGGGTCCCAATGCTTTGAGCCGTCCTCTACTGCTTTCCCAAACCCCAGACAGGAAGCTGGATCGGAAGTAGAGCATCAGGAATATGAACCAGCACCCGTATGGGATGTCAGTGGTTTAACGGAGGAGATTAGCCAGTTGAGCCATTACACCCCGATCTGCCCCTTTATTTCTCTGTACCCAAGTATCCTGAGCTGTATGCAGACTTACTGTCCCTGCTGTATAAGGAGGCCATACGCTGTTCCCAGAGCAGCCGCAGGGCCCGTAGCACTGCCCTGTGTTGCAGTTCCCACCAGGCCTTGATGGCAGAGCTGGTTCCTGTCAGGTCCCCAGCCCCTGGTGACCAGATGTGGTTATCCATGCGAGACTGGTCTCTAAGCTTTTCAGTTAGGAGTGAGAATATATATTTTTTTGCATTCTCATTCATATTTTAGCAGACTGTAGTAGTCTGAAGATCTTTGTACTTGTTCTGCAGTAAGCACTAAGCAAAACTTAAAATCAGGTGAGAACACGGGAGCAGCTGGGTGAGGACAGAACTGGGACTCTGAGATTGGTCCATTCTTAGCCCTGGCCACGGTGCCTGTCCACGCGCCCCTGTGCTGACTGAGCTGACTCGGGCCCCTAGCAATAGCCAGCCCTACCTCCATGAGGTGTAGAAAAACGCTGACTTTGGCCCCTTCTGCTGCAGAGTCTGTGCGCAACACGCCCAGCACCGACACCATGCCAGCCTCCTCGTCCCAGACGTGCTGTGCCGACCACCAGGATCCAGAAGGTGCCACTAGCTCCTCCTACTTGGCCAGTTCTCAAGAGGAGGACTCAGGCCAGGGCCTTCCCACAGCCCACGTCCGCCCTTCGCACCCACTGAAGAGCTTCGCGGTGCCAGCAGTTCCACCTCCAGGGCCCCCCACCTATGACCCCGCATTGCCAAGCACACCGTTACTGTCTCAGCAAGGTGAGTGATGGAAGGCCCCACGCCAGTGAGTCACAGAGTGGCATTGCCCTGCACCAGAGTAGTGTGGGCTCCTGGCACACAGAAGGGAAGACTTGCCTGGGAGCAGGGGCAGCATCAGAGTGTCCATGCAGGATTCTTAACAGGTGGACTGCAGGGTCTGCAGGAGGGTTCCAGATCTATGCCATCACCCACCTACCCACGCCGTGCGGCTCCTGCAGGCTAGAAAGGGGCCACGAAGGCCAACACCTGGACCCAGGTCAGGGGACACCCAAAGTAACCTCATCCGGGGCGAGGCACTTCCCTGTGGCGGGGCAGGCTCTCGCCCAGGTCCAGGCAGCCCCAGCCTCGTGGTACTTTTATTGTCCTCCTCTCTGTGATGGTCTCCTACTGATGGTTTGCCTCAGAGCCAGTCAGTGGTCTTCAGACTGCGGTCCCAGGGGCTCCAAGATGTAAAAACACAAATGAGCTTCTCCCATGAGTCTGATGGCCATTGAAGCTAAACCTGAAACCGGGAAGAGAAACTAGCTTACACAGGGATCATTGAAAAAAGGAAAAAAAAATTAATCTTTCTAGATTTTGTTTTTCTTTTTAGGAGGCACAGACAGACATGGAAAGATCCACTGTCCACTACTTCATTCATCAAATGCCCTCAACAGCCAGGGCTGTGCCAGGGCCAAGTGCTAAGAACTCAGTCCAAGTGGCAAATGCCCAAGTCCTTGCACCATTGCCACTGCCTGCCAATGTCTGCAGGGTCAGTGAGCCAGTGCGGAGTAGGGGAAGAGTGGACCGAGGCGTCCCCTGTGACCTCTGTAAATGATTGTAGATATTCTTTGACATGACACTGAACTCCTAGAGTTCGTTTCCTGAAGGTCTTCTTGTTTTGTGCAATCTAAAAACATAAACATGAACCATGTCCACTGGGTCCCTCTCCATGTTGATTACGGAACACTGAAATGTCTCATATTAATCATTTGGAAGATATTGGAGCAGCTGGCATGGCACAACAGGCTAAGCTGCTGTGTACATCACAGGTGTCCTATGATGGGGTGTTGTTTCAAATCCCAACTGCCTCACTTCTGGTCCTGCTCCCTGCTGATCCACCTAGAAAAGCAGTGGGCTCCTGCCACCCACATGGAAGACTCAGATAGAGCTCCTGGCTCCTGGCTTCAACCTGACCCAGCTTCCATACCCTCCATGAAAGGACAAGTAACATCCTTAATGTTCTTAGAAAAGGTGCTCAGAGCTCCCAAGACATACAGCCAGGGGTCGCAGGAGCTCCACACTCCCAGAAGCACAGGAAGCCTGAGCCATCAGTCCTTCCACACTGCACCCTACACCCTGGCCTCATGAACGTCCTCCTGGCTCAGGAACTGTTGAGAGCAGAACAACTGCTCTCTGAGTGCATGCCCCTCAACTCAAAGGAGCCAGCCTCTGGACGTGGGGTGCCTCCCTGAGGTCTGGCTGGGGAGGACGAGGCCACACGGCTGACCATGCCCTTCCCTCTGCTCACTCCCCCAGCTCTGAACCACCATCTTCACGCAGTGAAGACAGCCTCCATCGGGACTCTGGGAAGGAGCCGGCCTCCTATGCCCGTGATTGTTCCCAGTGCCCCCGAAGTGCAGGAGACCACCAGGATGCTGGAAGACTCCGAGAGTGTAAGTACCCCCGGGCCACCCCCACGTGTGAAGCCCAAACCCTCCCCTCCACACCTGTAACCCAGGAACTGTGCCCAGAAACCCATCCTGCTGTGCTTTAATTTAGCGCCATGGACCAGCCAGCAGCCCACCCTGCCTGTTTGTCCTCAGTCTGGCCCTCTTTCACCCAGTCTGAACCCATCCACCTCTTCTTCCACCCCCAGGGCACCTTGTGGCTCTTCCTTAAGCAGGAGGCTAGAGGACAGGGTGGCGGGGCAGAGGTCACAGGCACTCCCTGCCCTTTCCCTCTCACGTCCCAGGTAACACATCTGTCTCCACATTCCCAGCAAAGGATTCTGTGGAGGAAAGCTCAGGGCACAGTTGCCAGAGACTCCCCAGCAGTGCCAGCACCAGCATGGACCTGCAAGAGCAACAGGGACATCTTGCTCAGGAGGATGTTGTGACCCCAGGGAGTGTGTTGGGCGAAAAGGATTGTGCAATGTCAGAAATGAGTCTTAGTGACATGGGTATATCCTGTATCCCCATGGTCCAGTCACCTGGGGAAGCCCACTGGGCACTCCGGCCTCCCTCCTGGAGGACAACTCCTCAGAGCGTGCCCAATCACTCTGCTCTCTCATCCACAGAGCTACGAACCAGATGAGCTGACCAAAGAGATGGCCCACCTGGAGGGACTGATGAAGGACCTGAATGCCATCACGACTGCCTGACAGCCCTCCTCAGGCTGGGGCTCGAAGCCGGAGTCAGAGAGGTCGTGGACTTAGCCTGGAGTAAGGACTTGTACAGAGCACGAGGGGACAGCACTTGAGTACGCAGCCTCTGCCCCACACTCTCGGGGGCCGGTCCCACGCCTGGCCACTGCCTTCCCCTGGTCAGCCTGGAGGAAGCCTTCCCTCTGCCTGCTGATACCAGCAGGACTGGGCACCATGGGCCAAAATTCTGCATCCAGGGAAAAGGCGACAAGCTTTGTGGTCGGGCTGCATCTTGGTGCTGCAACCACGTCACCCGTGTGGAGTATAGACATTGGCGTTGATGTATGATTTTTATTTTATTTTACCTTCAAGAAGAGAGAAGTGATCCACAAACCCAAGGACATCCGTGGAGTTCTCTGCAAGTGGTTGGCGTTTGACGGCTTGTTCCAGTTCCATAGGGAAGTCATTGACCATGGGGTTGTTCCAGGGGTTGGCTTGTTTTCTGGTTATTTTTTTAAACTGAGTCAGTGCATCCTCCATCAGCTGTTCCCCCATCCCTTGGAGGGGCACACATGTTGCATTACTGTTGGTAAGCTGTTTTATTATTTTTTTATCCTAATTATTATTAAAGGCCTGCCTTCCTCCTCCAACACTGTGAGGCCGTAGAGCTATCGAGCGAAAGGTAACTCCCAAGAAGGCTTGTTCTTTACTTCTGTGCAGTTTCATGATGAGGGTGGGGTGGGATGGGAGGGGCAGAGGCAGCGAGGTGCCAGGTGTCCACCACCGTGCCATCTCCCGGGGGCCCACAGAGGACAGGTCCTGACTGACCTTCCTGGCTAGTCACTGCGTTGCCAAGCGCAGTCTTGTTTCCATCTGGTTTAAAGTCCTTCCATGCAATAAGTGGCTCGAGGTTTAACCAGCTTTGGAGCGAAGCGCAAAGGAGACCCTTTTTTGCTGCCTCCACGTGTTCCCCTGTAGGAAAGCTGAAGGCCGAGGAAAGAGCCACCCTGCCTCTCCGGGCTGGCCCCACAGCAGCACCCCTCAGGAGCACGAGCAAGGCCGTGGAGGGGAGGGCTCCCACACCCTTGAGAGCCTTGTTCTTCATGCAGGCAGCCAGGACGGGGCAGCAGGCGGCTCCACGCCAGCACTCTGCTGAGCCCCTCAGCTCCCAGTCCCTGCCTTCAAGGACATCCCTCAGGAGGCTTGCCTGGCCTCCAGCACATCCCGGGGGTCTCATCATGCCTTCACTTTTCTGCAAGAGGCACTCTGTGTTCATTATTTCAAGGCAATGAGGTGCGATGCCAGCCTCCTGCTTGCACGGCCTCCCACCCCAGCGTCCCAGGGTCCCAGGGTGGCACCCCGAAGCTCCTGGAGACCCTGTGTGATGCAGGTCACCCTGGAACTAAAGACAGCCAGTCCAGGGCAGGGTGGGGGCTGCATCCCTGACACCCATCTCACCTCTGCCCGAAGACAACACTCAGTATTTAGGGCGTTCCCTCCCGTGACCCCTGTCACTGTGTTACCTCAGGGCCTCGGTACCTGGATACTGCCGCAGAATTGGGGTGGGGACGGGGAACCTATTTTTAAAAAAAACTGTTCAAAGTTGGGGATTTTTTTTAAAAAAAAAAGAAAACTAAGAAAAAGGAAATCTATTCTGTACGGCACCTTTTCATGATTGAATACATTTTCTTACATTTTCCTGTGACTTTTGGAACTGAACCATCGCGTGTCTTGTGCTGTCCCAGCTGAGCTGCCTCAGCTGCCCCCTCGGGGACATGGGGTCTTGCCTTGCTGCTTGTCGGAGGGGCCGTGGGGGGACGGGAGGCGGTTTGCTGGGACACATTTCTATACACACTTATTTGGCCTTTTCTGTAGTTGATGCTGTAAACTCTATGGCTTTTAAAAAATTTTTTTCTCATGTTTTTATTTAGTATTGGAAACCCAATACACTTTTTTAATCCAATCAAGCTGTGGACTGGTCAGAGTCATTTTCCTTTCTTCCAACCTTTGGTCTCTCCGGGTGATGCCCACCCCACCATGGCCCCGGCACACTAAGTTGAGGAATTCCAAGGAAGAAGTTAAGAGGGGTCTCAGGTGAATCTGACTGACCCTCCTCCCTCACCACCATGCCAAGGAATAGCCCCAGTGTCCCATCATTGCCAGGAAGGAGCAACCCAAGGAATCCGGACCATGCCTGACAGCACAGTGCAGCAGCGTCCCTGCTCCCCAGGCCCCTGACACTGCTGCAGGGGTCTGCAAGCCAGGTGTGCCGCCCTCCTCTGTAGAAGATACCCCCAGGTGGCCTTGACCTCTGCAGCTGCAGATCCTGCCCACACGTGCATGCGCTTTGTACGATGAGGCTGCCATGCTCTCTGCTGCAGGACAGGAAAATCGAAGTGTCCCCCCACCCCCGTGGCAGCAGGAAGAAGGCCAAACCCCAGGGCTGGTGCAGCCTTGTGCCCAGCACAGAGGCCAGTGCTGCCCCTCCACGTCCCTAGGTGGAGCCCTCAGCTCATTTCTCAGCCTCTGCTGAGTTCTGCCTTCACTCTCCCTCCCCTCCTTGCCCCTACTCCCCAGGCTGGGGTCTATGGGCTCCAGGACAAGGTAGCATCTTTCAGTGCCCAGAGTTGCAGCTTGTCTCCTGGATGAATGGAGGAAATGTGCCCCTTTCCCAAGGACAGGTGCCTCTAGCTAGCAGAAGACATCCCATTCCCCAGCGAGTCCCCCCTTCATGTGACAGTGCCCACCGTCAGCCCACTCTGAAGGATGGTCCCTGGTCACAGCTCATCTGCCAGATGGTCACAGAATTGTAAGAAACACCAACACCACAATAGCCGCTGTGACACCAGAAACGAAGGCCAGGGCAGTCCCTCAGTGACAGAAGGGGAAGCAGATGCCTGCCACGGAGGGTCGCATGGGTTGACAGAAGCCACCGGAGGGCAGGAAGTGATGACCATGAGGGCAACAGGGGTTGGGCCAGCAGGGAGCTGGGAGGCCACCCTTGCACACAGAAGCCTGGGAAACAGCGGCTGAGGGAAGTGGTCCTGTGCCTTGTCCGTCACTGTAGGGAAATCCAGAACATGTGGCAGGTGTCAGTTCCAGGACCCTTTGCGCAAGTAAGGGCTTGGTGGGGTTTGAACATTGTAAAGGGGCTGAGGGTCAGTCTCGGGAAGGGGTACAGGGCATGCTTACTGCTCTGTTGAGAAGTGTCAGGAATGCCTGAAATCATGCTGATGGTGGGACAGGGGCTGACATTACCACCAGGATGGTGAGAGGAGGGAGGCGGCCAATGGGGGAAGCCCCTGGTAGAGGGGTTGGGCTTGCTGGAGGACGCCCCTCCCACCCACAGGAACACTGGCAGCCCCTGGAGTCTGCACAGGTGGGGAGAGTATATTCCAAGCACATGCACATAGCTGCCAGGCAGCTGCCCCTGGCCAACAGGTCTCCTCCCCAGTGGACATCTGGTAGCTGCTGTCCATTTCCTCCTTCAGTGACACCATACAGTGCTCGGCCAGGGTCCCTAGAGTAGACTCCTGTGGCTGAAGTGTCCTGCTGCTTAGCGTCCTGGCCGTAGCCCCTCTCCTGTCCGTAGGAGTCCAGGGCGTCCCCATCATGCTTAGCCCTTCCTGCGGGCAGTGGGAGCCCAGCAGTGACCAGAGTCTGACCTCAGATGTTCATTCAGACTGTAGCGCTCTGTGTTGCTGCCTCTGCCTCAGATCCCACCTCCCACCCCCCGCCCCTGCTGCCATCACCATTGCTGTGCTGGCAAGTGCCACTTCCTCTCTAAGGACCAGGCTTGGAAAAGTGCAAAGAAAATGCCCATTAGAGAAAACCAACAACAGAAAACTTACATGGATTCTAAAGTCTGTAAGTTTGCCTTTTGCCTGTATTTTTCCATGAATTCCACAACCTATTTCTGCCTCTTCTGCACTATGACCTCCCTACGGACAAGGCAGCAGGCTGGCTGGGGCCCAGCACCCTGCAGAGCATCACTCACACCTGCGTGGTGGGATGTGGCTGAGCCTAAGTCCCTCTTTTCAGAGCAGCGCCCTCTGAAAAGCTCTATGGGGCCAGGGTAGGGGACTGCAGGGATGTACTCAGAAGCTACCTCGTGTGGTTTAGTGTTCCAGAAGGACAGATCCCAGCGCCCCGCCTCCCCCAGGCCAGGCCTGTTTTTAGTCTCCTGTGGTCAGATCAAGTGTGGGATCCCAGCAGAGCCAAGTCAAACATGAAGTCTGTTGTGCTCCCCAGGATCCCTGGCCTATGCTAGGTGAGAACCTGCAGCTGCCGTGACTGGGGCAAAGGAGCTGCTTTCCATCAACTCAAAGCTCACTGGGTATGACCATGACAGAGCCCTGTCCCCTCCCTCAGAGAAGGCTGACATCTTAAGGGATGTCAGAAAAAGCATTGGAAGAACATTCTAGGCTAATGCCCAAGGGTGGGAAGACTGTAGCTGATGCCAAAGAGAGCTTGAGGTAGGAAGTGGGTGAGTGGGGACAAAGGACACTCAGCCCATTCGGAAACTCCCCTGCTCCCCCAGAAGCCAGGAGTCAGTCCTGGTTTCCATGAGTTTTCCTAAAAAAAAAATTTTTTTAAGGCAAATTTACAGAGAAGGCAATACAAAGAACTGTCTACTTGACTCACGCCCCAAGTAGCCACAATGACCAAATCGGAACTGATCCAAAGCCAGGAGCCAGGATATTCCTCTAGGTCTCCATGTAGATACAGGATCCCAAGACTCTGGACCATCCTCTACTGCTTTCCCAGGCCACAAGCAGGGAGCTGGATGGGAAGTGGGGCTGCCGGGGTATGAACAGGCATCCATGTGGGATCCTGACTTGTGCAAGGTGAGGATTTAGCTACTAGGCTATCACACCAGGCCTGGTTCCATGAGTTTTCTTGAGGGCCTCCTCTGTGTGCTGGTTCCCCAGGGAAGCAAGATGAGGAGTATAGAAAGCCCCCCCCCCCACGGGGGCCCCCAACAGCCCTGTGTGGAAGTGCCAGAAGGAGCCACTGAAGGTGACGCCAGGGTCCGCCAACCGAAGGAAACAGCTCTGCTTGATCAGATCAGAACAGAAGAAGTGAAGACATTGGATTAACCAGCACATAAATGCTTTCAAAAGACTTGCTCAAACAAAAGTATGGGGTGCGTTCAGAGGACTGGAAAACTGAGTAGCCTAGCAACTAAGATACCCCTGGGATTGCCTGTAACCCACACCGGCATGCCTAGGTTCAAGTGCCAGCTCTGACACTGACTATAGCTTCCTGCTAACGGGCAGGCTGAGAGGCAGCAGGGATGGGAGACCTGGGTTGAGGTCCAGGTTCCTGGCTTCAGCAACTTCAGCCCCAGCTGCTGCAGACATCTGGGGAGTGTATCAGCACATGCCTCGTTTGTAAAGTTGGGAACTGTGATAAAACTAAAACCTGGGCCCGGCGCGGTGGCGCAGTGGTTAAGGTCCTCGCCTTGCACGCCCGGGATCCCATATGGGTGCCGGTTCTAATCCCGGCGGCCCCGCTTCCCTTCCAGCTCCCCGCTTGTGGCCCGGGAAAGCAGTCGAGGATGGCCCAAAGCTTTGGGACCCTGCACCCGTGTGGGAGACCCGGAAGAGGCTCCTGGCTTCAGATCAGCATAGCATAGGCTGTTGCGCTCACTTGGGGAGTGAATCATCGGACGGAAGATCTTCTCTGTCTCTCCTCTCTGTAGATCCGCCTTTCCAATAAAAAATAATAAAAATAAATCTTAAAAAAAAAAAAAAACTAAAACCTGATCTGATTTTTAATGTGCAAAGGCAAGCTTTTACCTTCTGCCAGTTCCTTCTCCCTCAGTGTCCACACAAGCTGGGGCTGAGCCACAAGCCGGAAGCCAGAAACTTTGATCCTGCCTCCCATGTGGCTATGTGTGTGCCAGGAAAGCAAGTACTTGGGTCTTCCTCTACTGTCTCCCCAGGGTGCGTACATAGCAAGTCCCTGAGTGAGCCTCAAACCAAGGTACTCCAAATGACAGCCCATCGTGACAACTGCACCAAATGACTCCCCCAGATTCCACTGTCAAGGCCTATCAGCAAATTGTCCACTTATATTTTTTTTTAAGATTTATTTATTTGGAAAGTCAGAGACACAGAGAAGAGGAGAAACAGAGAGGAAAGGTCTTCTGCCTACTCATTCACTCTCCAAGTGGCCACAACGGCTAGAGCTGTGCCAATCTGAAGCCAGGAGCTTCTTCCAGGTCTCCCACTTGGGTGCAGGGTCCCAAGGCTTTGGGCCATCCTCGACTGCTTTCCCAGGGAGGGAGATGGGAAGCGGGGCCACCGGGACACGAACTGGAGCCTATATGGGATGCCGACTCATGCAAGGTAAGGACTTTCGCTGCTAGGCTGTCATACTGGGCCCCCTGTGCAGTTTTTACTGATCATTTCCTCCTCCCACAAGGACAGCCCTTCCCACCCCAGCCTTACACATCTGCGTGTATGGTTTAGCAGTGTTTATTCTAACAGTGGCTTGAACAATAACAACAATGAAGTCAAATTTGTGTTTTGAGTTTTATTCACCCTGATGCATCTGCTTAGGTGAGTGTAAAATATTCTACTTTCAAAAGGTAGAATGGAGAGGAGATAACACCAGCAGGAAGGTGGATGCAGAGGACAGCGCCCCGCAGCACAAGGTGCCAGCTGCACCCCCAAGAGTAAAATGGGCAGAGGTTGCAACGCAGCAGGTGAGGTTGCTGCTTGAGACGCTAGCATCCCCTATCAGCGCCAACTGGCGCCCCCAGCTGCTCTGCTTCCAGTATGACTGCCTGCTAACACTCCTGGAACAGCAGCCACAGACAACGGCCCAAGCACTGCCACCACGTGGAGACAAAGATGAGATTACAGGCTGTCATGGGGAGGAACCCGGTGACTGGAAGAGCTTGCTCTGGGTCTCTTTGTGTGACTCTGCCTTTCAAAATCAATGTTTAAATAAATAAAGGTTCCAGGCTAAGGAGCCAGCCGAGGCTCAGCAGGTGCGTGGTTCAACAGAGAGGAAACCTGGGAAGCTTTGGGCCCAAGGCAGCGACACCTGGTGGTCACCATCATGGGCATGGTCTGTCCAGGTGGTGGCACAGAAAAGAGGTCAAAGTGAGAGATTAGCAAGAATGTGGGGAGAAGCTGAGCCTCTTTAGACCTGAGGATGACCAGGAAGTGAGGAAGTCAGACTCTGGCCCTGGCTGGTCCTGGCCTGTTGAGAGAGAAGGAGGAGGTGAATGCAGGGTCCGGAGTTGCCAGGGAGAGATGGGGATGCAAGCAAGGGATTTTCTGTTAACGTATCCCACTGGTTTAGTCTTGGGAAAGCAAAGTGGTGTTCTTATCTCTTCCAGCCCACCTTCCATGGCAAGTGTTCTCTGGCCTGAGATGTGGGAAGGAAACTCTGGGGTGGGGTATGGTCACAGAGGGTCCCTTCTGCACCCACAGAGGTTCCCGAGCTGGCACATCTGCCCCCCAACACCCTCATCCCCACCCCAGTGCTCCTGGAGAAGCAACCTCAAGGTCCACCCCTCCCCTCATCCCTGCTGCCCCCACAGCGATATGGGCACCACAGGGTGGAGGGTGAGATGTGATCCGACTGCAGGTGCTGACTCGGGGACCCTCTAGGGATGGGGAAGGTGAGAGCAGCTAGAGGGAGCGGCTGCTGGGGGAAGCACTGGGTCTCCAAGGACCCACCATCACACAAGCCTGGGAGCAGGCAGTTGCCATGATGATGTATGACCTGGGGAACACTGGGAAGCCCCAGCAAGTTGCTATGGAAACAACCAGCAGCAACTGCAAGGAAGGATTCCGAGGACTCCCTTGTGCAATGTGGGAGTTGAGAGGGGGAACTCCCAGGCACTGTGGAAGGCCCCGTTCTGGGGGAGGGGCACCCCAGAGGCGGTGGTGTGTGTCTCAGAGGATACCAGACTTGCTGGCAGAGAGAGCTTGGCTCAGAGCCTGCAGAATGAGGTGGTCACAGGCTCCCATGGGGGACCCCTAGGAGGTCCTGTGGCTGCAGACCCTGGAGCAGGTGAGCCCTCCCTGGTCATGGCAGGCCCCACAGTCCCTTCTTCTCCCCTTCACACTCTGATAGGCCTTACCAACGTGGTCATCCGTGTCCCCAGCTACCTTCCCACTGCTAAGGCCTCTGGCTGGAGAGTCAGACAGCATGCACATATCACTGCTGCCGCTTCCTGTCCACAGACCCTCGCCATCCTGTTCAGTGGTGCTCACCAGTCCATCAGCAGACACACACCTGTACCCGCAGCCGGGCCACACTCTCATACAGCTGACATGACTCACACTGTGGAGGCGCAGGCTCGGACACGGGTGGCTCCGTGTGCTCCCAAGAGGCTGACACTACCCCCCACAGTGATCCCTGGAAGAAGGCAGCCTCTGCTGGAATTTTTGTTTTTATTTAAATAAAATATACAACACGGCGCAGTTGCCGTTTTCTGTTTTTAAAAGTGGAAGATTTGAAAATTGATTGTGGGGCTGGGGAAAGGGAGGGGCCTAGGGCTGGGAGAGCCCAATGAGGGGTGAGGCTGGGTCAGGGCTCCTATAAAATGTGTGTGTGTGCCTAGAGTAGGGGGGTGGCGGGGAGGGTTGTGGGGGGATGGCCCCTGACCCCTGCCGGGACTTAGCAGGCAGATCTGGGCCAAGTGCTGCCACCTTCCACACAGGGAGAGGGGTGTGAAATCGCTCCCATCCCGATAACTCCTTGGCTAAAGAGCTTCTGTGGTCCCAAGACCTTCATCTCTCGCTCCTCCAACCATGCTCCTTCTGTGGAGTGACTGGACCGATGCAAATCCCAAGACAGCTGCCAGCCAAGCCCGGACCCTGTCATCACTGGCTCGGGGGTCTGGAGGGACAAGGTAGGACCAACCTCCACCTCCTCCCCCACTTCACTTTCAGGATCTTACAGCCAAAACTGTTCCTGCCCTGTGAGGGAGGGGGTGGCGGGCAGAAAGGCGCCTGCTAGGACAGCACCTCAAGAGGCTTCAGGGCTGTCCGCACCCTGGAACTTCCTGTGGCTCCTAGTTGCCTCCATAAACTTGCCTGACTCCAAGGTCTGTGAACTCTGACCCTATCTTAGCTCCATGTCTACCCCCAATAATCCCCCCGACTTCCCACCTCCAGGCTTGGCCCAAGTCCACCCTGGTCACACGCTTTCCTCGGGTGCTTGTGGAGGCCCAGTCACCTCCTGAGTCCTGAGGTTTGAAGTCTTGGTGCTTTGGCCAAAGCTCCCTGGAGCAAGGGGCTGGTGCATGCGACCAGAGCAGACGTGGGGGTACTGTAGTAAGCACCTACTATGTGCTCCAGGTGCTAGGTCGAGCATCTCACAGGTGCTCCTCTTCCCTAGACCTCACAGGTCCTTGGGAAGAGGTCCCACTGTCCATTTATAGATGAGGTAAGACTCAGAAAACGTTGGTGAGCTTGTCCAAGGTCACACAGCTAAGCAATTGGCAGGCTGGGATTTAGACCCAGGCCTGGGGTTCCCTGCCAACAGTTTCAGGACACAAGGGACACAGCCCTTCTTCCCTCCCCTTGCCAGCCTTCAGGCAAGCGTGACTGATTCAAATCCCAGCTCTGCCACTCCTAGTTTCTTAATTTTATGAAAATCATCCCCAATCAACTTCATCTAGAAAATGGACCCTCAAGGAATCCAGGGGGTTCATGCATGAGACGTGGGAAACCAGGGCCAGGCAGACCCAACCCACGTAAGTCACCCCTCCCACCCCCAACTCCACAGACAGGAAATGGGGAACCCCAAAGGAGATGGAGTGAGGCCCTGACAAGGCCCGGAGGCTCCTTCTTGCATGCGCTGAGAGCTGAACCCAGATTTGCAACCAGGGAGGGGAGTCCTGCCACAAGGCTTCGAGGACCCCCTTCCCTGAAGACTGAAGGTAGATCTCTCCCCAGGGTCTGCGGTGGGGGGCCAGGCGAGGGGAGGGGCAGTGGGATGGATGTCAGGTGACCTGGGAATGCTGGCGACGTGGGGTCGACTAGATGGCACACACGCAGTGTGCACATGTGGGTTGCTATCTACATGGCTCTGCAGAGCGCTACATAGCTATACATATACACATCTTACATACATGTACGGCTACTATTCATATACAGCTCTCGCTATCATTGCGGTAGAAAAACACGGGGTCCTTGCGCCCAGGACCCCTCCCCAAGGCTCAACCAGTGCTGGGGGAGGGGCAGAGATGACCCCAGTCCGAGTGGGGTTCCAAGTTCACAGATCTGGGGCTGGTAGAAGCCGCTGCCCTAACATGGTAACAACCCCACCCTGCTCTGCCCCCACGCCAGGGACCCCATCTGCCTTCCTCTGGCTTTGGTCTGCTCCCCCCCACGCCACCCCCTTGCCCTCCTTCCCCAAGTGCTGAGTATTAAAATAGTCTATAAAAGCAAGTGACCAAAAAATCTATAGCTGTAAGAATACCTGGTTATTTCTGGCTGTGTTGGGTTTCCTGTGGGTGTGAGTGTGTGTTTGAATGATTAAGGATTATTATTATCGGTGTTATCTCCTAATCACAGTTAAACCTGAAGGAAGAAAGAAAAAAAAAGAGAGAGAGAGAGGAGAGCGAGGGAGGCCTGGCTCATAGGTTGGACGGCAGTTTGGAGCGCACTGGCTCGGCCCGGGGCCCAGGTTCCGTCTGGGGGGCAGCAGTCAGCTGGGGTCCCCCAGAAGAGGCGGCTCTGGGCCCGAACAGAGACAGAGGGGGCGGCAGAGAACCTGAGGATGTCTTCCGAGGCAGAGTGCCAGTGACCTGCTGCCCGGGGGGCCTCCCGGGGGCGCCGGCCCTGGGCAAGGGCGGGAAGGCAGCGACGACAGACTCGCCCGAGGACGAGTGCGGGGAGGCTCTGCGGAGAGTCTGCGCCCCGTCCTGGGGCAGCGCGGGCTGCGAGGCCGAGATGACCTTGAGGTCCTGCGAGAGGCGGCCGGGGGCCAGCGGGGGCGTGACGCGGCGCTGCGGGGCGGCCGGCGGGGGCTGCGGCGGCGGCGGGCTGCAAGCGGGCGGCAGGAGCAGCGAGCCGTGCGAGCCCGAGGCCCGGGGCGGTGCGCTGGGGAAAGTTCTGGGGGGTCCCGGGCTGTGGCCAGGGGGGCTGGGGCCTCCTCGGGGGCTGAAGGCCACGGGGGAAGCACCCCCCGAGACCCCTGCCACGAAGGGCAGTCGCTCGGGCTGCTGCCGCGGAGGCGTCTCTGGAGAGACCGGGGGCCCGGAGGCCAGCTCCCCTGGAGGCTGGCCCAGCTGCCCGGGGCTGGACGTGGTCGGGGAGCGGGCTGGGGGCGGCAGAAAGTGCTCCAGGAGGCCGAGGCCCGCCGGGGCCCCCGGGGGCGGCGGCGGAGGCGGCGGTGGCGGTGGAGGGGCGGCCTGCGGAGAGCGGGCGCCGGGCTGCAGCGGGGTGAGCAGGGGCGAGTCGGACGAGGACAAGGAGCCGCCCAGCGCCCGGTGGAAATGGCCGAAGCCAGTGGCGGCGGTGGCAGCAGCAGCGGCGGCGGCGGCGTGGGGTGTGGAGGCCGGGGGCGATCCGGCCGTGGGCAGGAGGGTGCCTGTGGAGCAGCCGGGCAGCGGCTGGACGTGCAGGGAGGCAGAGGACGGCGTGTCCGGCTGCGATGGGCTGCTGGCAGGCGATGCGGGGCTGGGCGCCGAGGGCACCAGGGACTGCAGCCTCCGCAGGTGCCTGGGCGTCTGCCCCGCTCCCAGCGAGCCCAGCGCGGGCCCAGGCGGAGGCCGGAAGATGGCAGCGGGCAGGCGAGGATGGTGGGTAAGCGCGATGGCCACCGAGGTGGTGGCCGCGGCGGCCTGCAGCGGAGCCTGAATCAGAGGCGTCCAGATGGCGGGCGCCACGACAGGCGTGCCAGCCTGGGCGTGGCGGGCACAGTGTGCCATCTCCCGATCGTGCTGCACGATCTGCTGTACTATGGCGTTCTCCTGGTAGTTGGAGACCCCGGAGCTGAGGTCGTGTTGCACCTTGTGCAGGAGGATGGAGTTCTTCTTGCCTGGGAAGGACAGAGCGAGGGGTTCAGGCGCAGAGGCTCGGGCCACCCCACTCCCGCTCCCACGGGCCTGTCCCCATGCCCTCACCAATGCGATCCAGCCGGTCGAGCGCCACTGTCTCAAAGGCCCGCCGCATCATGGGATACTCCTCCAGCACCTCGTTGAAGTTGTCCACGCTCAGCGAGTAGAGGCGGCAGTAGGTATCAGCGCGCACACTGGCAGTGCGCCGGCCCCGAGTCAGCAAGCAGATCTCTGTCAGAAGGAGGTGGGGTGCGGGGTGCGGCCTGACTGTGTGGGTCCCCCTGGTGCTCTGCACAGGGGCAGGGCAGGGCAGGCTTCTCAAGGGCCCACGGTTAAGCCATGACCACCATGGTTGGCGCCCCCTCCTTCAGTAAGATCCTAAGGGTGCTGTGTGCTCCCTTCCTTGGGGAAAGGCGTGGGAGGGACATGAACTCAAACATGACCTTAACACCCCACACTCCCAGACACGGCAACTGAGGGACCCTCAGGAATGGGATTACATCCCAAATGGAAATGCTGGTGCAAATCCCAGCTCCCAGCTTCCTGCTCATGCACCCAGAGGGGTGACAGCAGCAGGCGAAGGGCTCAAACGCTCTGGTCCCTGGCACCTGCAGGGGACACCAGATGGAGTCATCCATCCCCCGCCTACTGGACTTCTGACTCTACCCGGCCACGTCCAGGTGCTGAGGCCATTCGAGGCTTGAACCAGGCATAGGAACTCTGTGCTGTTCTGACTTTAAGTAAAAAGGCCAGAGAATTGGCCTGCTCTGCCTGACACCTCCCCCCACCCCATGTGAGACGAGGCCAAGGGGGACCCAGAATAAACCATCGGGCTGGCCCCCGTGGACTCAGAGTTCAGCTGGCAGAGCTGCTCTAGGGGTCCAGAACAGCGGCTCCAGCCTCTGTCTTCCCTGCTGTCTGTCTGTCTGTCTCTCTGCTGCTCACTCCCTCCCTGGCCTGCACCGCCCATCTCACCTCCAAAGTAGGAGCCGTCGGCCAGCTTGGTCTCCTTGTTGCCCTTGGTGAGCACGCTGACCACGCCGTGCTGGATGAAGTACATCTTCTTGCCGATGGTCCCCTCACGGATGATGTAGTCCCCGGGCTGGAAGACCTCGAAGCGCAGTTTGGTCAGCATGGACGTCACAAAGTTGGGGTCCGCGTTGGCAAACAAGGGCATGGAGGCTACCAGCTTCCGGCAGTTGAAGTTGATGATCTCCTGTTCCCCGGGAAGGATGGAGGGGGATGGGAAACAGGGTGACAGTGAGGGAGCTCCCCAGCAGCAAGGTCTCCTCCCCTTACCCCTCCGCCCGCTCTGCCCCCCGGCACCCACCTCCCGCAGCGGCTCGCTCAGCTCCCCCAGGATGCTCTCCTCGTCAAACATCTTGCCCTGGTAGCGGTGTTCGTAGTAGTCATGGATGCGCTGCCGGGTGTCCGGCGGGAGCTTGTGGAAGGACATGTACTGCTCCACCTGCTTATACTGAGGCCCAGGGAGAGAAGGAGACAGCGTCACTTCCGGGTGCTGGTCCTGCGCATGCCTACTCCTTCCCCACAGTTGCCAGAGCAGCATCAGCCACACACAGTTCCTTGAGCTCTGAGGTCCTCAGTGTGCGAGGTATAGGGAGACTGTGCCACCGTGTGGTCCTCTCGAGTGCCCAGCGTTATGGAGATGACGGGGCAGTGGGGACCGACTGGGGACACATATCAGCAATCCAGGAGGGTGGTCCCCAGACCATCCTCAGTCTCTTCTGCTACACTGGGGGACCTCACGCACGAGCTCTGGAAGCAAGTGCCATTGCACCAAGCTGGCAGGACTGGGCTGGCTACAGGGCAGGAGCAAAGCTTGGGTACAAGAGATTAAGCAGAAAGGGGTAGCATTAGTCTTCCTTCGGTGTTGCCCTCCTGCTATGCACTGGGGGCAGGGCCAGCACAGGCAGACCACGGGTGTGGGTTACCCACTTCCCGGGGGCAGACCCGTCTCACAGAGAGGGCGGGCACTGACAAAAAGGGCAGCCCAGGCTCACAGAACTTGACTGTGGAGGAGCTGAGGTCAGAGGCCAGGGCTACAGCTGTCAGTCAAGCAGCTGGGCAGTGGCCTCGGGGGAGGGGGAGAAGCGAGCGGCAAGGAGGACAGAGCCAACTGGGCTGAACGGGAGGCAGCCTGTGGGGGGTGGGCAGTAACAGCAGGGATGGAGCCTGGCTCCTGGCCGGGTGTCAGCTCCTGTGGCTGCTAAGCAGATAGGGGGATGTGGTGGTAGAAAGCCAGGGCTGGGCACAACGTGCCCGTGGCCATGAACACCACGAGGCTGCTGCGTCCAGACAGGTCATCAGATGACCAGTGTGTGATGGGGGGAGACCCATGCTCTGGCTTAGGGCCCCTCCTCCTCCTGCTGAGATGGACCCAGAGCCCTGGAGCTGGGGGGTGGGGGGGGGGCGGTATTGGTTTAAAAGAGAAACACCAGGAAAACGGGGCAAGAAAGGATTGGCGAGTCAGGCCACCCACCAGGAATCCCAGTGTGATGACCACAAGGAGAAGCCAGCGAGGCACAGTGAGGGCAGCCAGGGTGTGGGGCATGGCGGAGGGAGAGTAAGTGGGAAACCATACTGGGAGGGAAGGGAAAGCAGAGGGGCCAGGCAGGAGGAGGGCCCGACAGAGTCCACCAGATCCAGCCCCAAAGAGAGGCCCGGTCTCCATGGGGCACAGGTGTCAGAAGCGGCGGCAGAGCTGTTCCGTACCACTATCCCTCCTCTCTCCCCACTACAGTCTCTCCTCCCACCTCGCAGGCCCAGGACCCTTCCAGGCAGGTCCTTCGCCACCCCGAGAAAGCCAACCAAGCCAAGCAGCGGACCACAGGGCTCTGTGCCAACCTACCTTTTCCTGGTACTGGCGCCGGGAGGAATCCAGGGACTGGATGAGGGCGGTGGCGTGGCCGATGAACATGGCATAGCAGGTGGCGCCCACGATCATGCTGAGCATGGTGAGCCACACGTCGGACATACCCATGGGCGCCTGTCGCCCGTAACCGATGCACAGCATGTGGCTCATGGCCTTGAAGAGGGCATAGGAGTACTGCTTTCCCCAGGAGTTGTTCTGTGGACAGGGGGGCACCAGGTGGGAGCAGGAAGACAGCCAGGTCCCCGCCCCTTCCTCCCCTGGCCCCCCTGCCACTGATTATCGAGAAACCCCCTTGAACCCCCTCTGGTTGTTGGATACAGGGTTCAGGGAAGAGCTTGGAGCCAGCCCAGCTCTGATCCCTCCTTGCAGCCTGGAGCCTCACAGCTCCTGTCATTCTTCCCCACTGCAACCACCCTCCCCGCCCCTCCAAAACAGCTGACTAGTGAAGCCCATTTCCCCACTGACCTCGATTATGAGACCAAGCGAGGCATCCCCTCGGGGGGACGGCGCTCTGGCGGCTGACTGAGCTGAAGTGCTGCCCTCAGTTAGGATGAACAGAGCACAAGCCACTAACTGTGTCCTGCACGCAGGCCTGTCCACACCCACTCGCCCATCCGCCCGGCCGTCCAGGTCTACAGGCCGCTGCTTCCAGCCCTCTGCCCAGCCCTCTCCCCCACCGTGCAGGTTCTGGAATACACATCATGGCAAGGAGGGAGCTCCCTGGCTGGTTTTGTCTCCAACGCAGGTGACTGAAGGAGCACTGGGGTCAGAGATGCCCCCTTCTTGAATTCTGCGCATGTGCAAGGATGTTGAGGAGAAATTCTCCAAATGAGAGGGTGCCAGGTGGGCAATGCTGGCACCGCCCCCTTCTACTTCCCAGCATCTCCCTGCTCACAGGAGTATAAAGCACCTGCTCAGAGCTCCCAGGGACCCAGGCCAGCACCAGGAGGCTTCCAGCAGCACCCAAGAGGAAGCACAGGCCCCGTTCAAGGTCACCAAGAGGACTGTGCTGCTAGAGCTGAGCTAGTTCCTGGGATCCAGAGGCCGTCCTGTCTAGGGTGGGAGAAGTGAGGCCATCCCCACTGCCTCCAGCCAGCTTGGCTGCATCTCTGGGGGTGGGGGACTCTGACTCAGGTGACCTCCATTTACACTGAGTTCAAAGAAGCCTCAGGGTCTGTTCAAACTTTGTCTTCTCAGAGGCTTGCTTCCGGCTTGGGGAAGGTAGGGGGTTGGGTGCAGCCCCAGGTCCTGAGCCCACCCTGTCCAGAGCAGGTGTGCATATGTGTGGGGTGGGGTGGCAAGACCAGGGAGACTCTGCCCTATTGTTCTCCAGCTCCTCACTCCATTGGGACCAGGGTGCTCTGTGGCTGGCAGCACCAGATGCTGGCTGGCTGCACGCTGGGCTTCTGGAGGCAGAGCAGCTGCCAGTCCAGCTTGGCCACACCTGCTGCTACACTCAGGGGCACCCGATGCTCCACCTCCTTATGGAGAGAGGGAGGGACGGAAAGATGAAGGCTTAACTCCCAGGTTCTGAGCCACAGTGGAGGCTGTCTGACAGTGGCAGCCACAGGCAGGGGCCGTGGGATGCGTGTGCATGCGTGTGAGTGCGTGCGCAGCCACTCACCACCATGTGGTTGAGGGACACCCAGCAGTCGTCGGGGAAGTCCTGCAGCATGGGCACCAGGAACTGCAGGCAGCCGTCCCAGTGGCACAGCAGCAGCATCATGCCGATGAGGTTCACAATACGCACGACAGCGCTCGCCAGGTCGTAGGTCATGTGGAAGATCTGCAGTGGCACGGATGGAGATGCTGACCCTAAGGTGGGTGGCCAGCAGGGGCCACGGGCCCTTCCCAGCCACACTGCCACACATCCCCACTCTCTACACAGTGTCTGCCTGGCATACGTGGGACTGGATCAGGGCCAGGTCACAGGAGAGAGACCTTCCAGCTGCAGGGTCCCAGGGGGATAGGTGGGGGGCCTCAGATCTGGAGCACCAAGCAGCCTGGGAGTGGGCAGAGGTGCACCTCATCCACTAGGAGATGGGGTGCCAGGAGGCAGGAGAATGGCCAGCCAAGCCTGGCGTCCTCTCCAAGCCTGTCACCAGGACCCAGCAGGGCAGTTATGGGGCTACAGAGGGCGAGCCATGCAAGCCACAGGCTTCATGAGTTCACTCCCCAGGTCTGCTTCCCATCCCACTGTTCACTGTGCAACCTTGAGATAACTCCCGAACCCCTCTGATCATGCTTTCTCGTTTGGAGTGATCAAAAACTCCTCCCCAAGCGGGCTGCCTTTTTCAAAAGGCTTAAATTATACAAAGTGCTTAGTACTGGGTGTAGAAGCGTTCAAGAAATGGCAAACCATGATTAATTGATACATTGCTATGAATCATTAATCTTGCAGGATTGGTTAATATGCATTGATAGCAATGATCTTACTACAATAGCATCCAGCACCCTCAGCCCAGGGGAGAGGTCCTAGCATTCCGCCCGTCACTCCTTCCAAAGCTGCCAGGACCGGAAGGAAAGGGCAGGAGGGGAAATGGAGAAGCAGGTATAGGAGCAGGTCTGACTCCAGCCCAGGTCAGGGGGAGGGTAGGTCAGGCTTGGGACTCTCCCACTCTCCCTGCCCCTAACCCCTAGCTCTGATCCTTCCCCGTCTCCCCAGGAAGAGGGCCTTTGGATGCCAACACAGGCTTGTCAAATCAAATGCCACACACATCCCCACCCAGACAGGGAAGGGAGAGGAGTCCGCTTCAGCTGGGGAAGGTGAGATCCAAAGAGACAAACCCTACATGGTTCACATGAGGAGTGACTCCAGCATCGGCCCTGAAGCCCCCCCAACCCCAGCTATTTTGGACTGGGTGCTGTTTTAAATGCCTGCTTCCTAGGTCAGCGATTCACACACCCTTCAGGTTCAAATGTGTTGTCTGCCAATCTTCTCTAACTTTGTAACCCTGTTCCCACTAATCTGCTGTAACCTCAAGGCACCATACTCTCCACTAACCTCTCGTGGCCCCTCCCATTAGTCCCCCCCTCCTGTGGTCCCGACAATCCTATCCAGCAATCCCTCATGGCCCTGCGACGCCCGCCTCTGGCCACAAAGAATGACACACTCAGGCGAGTGTCTCTCCTCCCTTGGCGTACTGTCCCTTCCCCTGTCCTCCCTGTCTTGCCCCCACCCCTTCCCTTCCCTTGCAGCCCCTTCCTGTCACCATGGAAGGAGATGGTCCCCTCTCCCCCGGCCTCTGCTCCTGTCCCCACCCTGCTGGAATAAAAGACCCCCTAGGTGCCTTGCTGCATCTGGTATTGTGGTCTATTGTGGCAAACTTATCCCAAAGAGAGCTCAACTGCGTGAAAGCATGAACAATTCAACTCCCTGCCCAGCCGTCTTCCAGTTACAGCCCTGCAGCCAGGGGCAGGAGGTGACCTCAGGTGCCTGAGAGACGGCTACAGCCTGGGTCTGGGTTCTAGAAAGCCAGAAACAAACACTACTGCACTCCACCCCCCAACACCGCCTAGTCCCACCCTGCTCCGGAAGCACAGTTATGCCCACGCCTCAGCCTGCTCCCACCCCCGACCCCTCGGGACTTTCCACCGAGCTGAGGCTGAGCTTGTCCACTCTTCTCCCACAAGCTTGCCACGGGGGTGTTGGCAGCACCAGCGTGCCTATGGGCAGACTGCCTGCATTTCTCTTGGATCCACAGCCGTCATGAGTCTATTCACACCCAGGCTGGTGGTCAGCCCAGAGTCCACGGAGGAGGATGAGAGCTGGTTCCAGCGTGGCTTTACAGCTGCTCAGAGCCCCTCGCCCCTGCCCCCTCTCCGATTGCTCACTGAGGGAGGAGAGTTGGAGAGGGGAACCCTCCGGACCTTGTTCTCCCATGACCATCCCCAAGTTCCCGGCAGAACAGCCTGCGTGGGAGAAAGCGCTTGAGCACTTGCCTTAACTCCCACCCCCAAGATGTCTCAAGACATGAACAAGCCTGCCACCATTACCACTGCCCACCCAACCTGCCAGGTACGGCATCCCAGGCCTGGCCCTGCCCTTCAGGCCTGGATGCAGCTGGGGTGCCGCACTGGGTCTGCTGGTCCACCTGCCCCGGGTTCCCACCTCTGGCCTCCTCTCATCACTCCCAGCTCTAATGCCACTCCCACATGGAGTCCCCTGCTGCCTTCCCCAGCCCTGCGTGGCCCACGCACACGGCCTCATGCATGGGATCTTCCCTTCTGTGTCTCCCCACACCTAGCCAGGCTCTGCCTAAGGATTTGCACGAATGCACGCACACAGGCATGCATGATGGACGCCTCAGGAAACCGCAGGCACCATCTGGAAGCCCCTCAGCTGGCCACAGCCTCTGCTCTGTCTGCGCATGTTTGGGAGTCCGAGGCCAGAGCCAGGTCTACGTGCTGTCCTAGTATTCTCAGGTCCTGGCACCTGCCTTTCCTCTTTCTTCACAGAGAATTTCCTTCCAGGATCAAGTCTCTGTCTGTCTTTTGCTTGATCCTGTTCTCCATGGCCTGGAACACGTGGCAAGGTCTGAGGGCTTGATGAAAAGCCACAGGTGACAATGACCCTGCTGAGGCTGGTGGCCAGCAGGGCTCCTGTCAGATTATCCTGGGGGCAGCCCTCGGCCATGGAACACTTCCTGTGCCTTAGAGGAGAGGACGGGGATGCTTTCTCCTCCTCCTCCTCCGAGATGCTGTACAGAGCAAGTCAGGGAGCCAGCGGGTGCTCCGGGAGGACAGACAATGGATCGCACAGTTTGGTCTGTTCTCCCCAGGGAAGCATGTGGCAGGGGGCACAGCCATGCATGCTGGGAGGGATCCCTGGACTCCGTGCACAATACTCGGGCCCCATGTCAGCGTCCAGGAGTGCCAGCTCAGGGCTGCAGAGACCAAGGCTGGTTGCTGATGTGCCCCCACACTGGGCACTGGACAAGCACTCACCATAGTCTCTATGTGTTATCAAAACCCAAGTTTATCAAGGGGGTGCAGAAGGGAGGGGGGCATTGAGTACCTCCTCTGACTATAGGCCATACCCCAAGCCTCACAGTGCACCTGCAGCTCTCACTCAGCCCAGAAGCCCCATGCCCAATCCTCCTGTGGGTTTTCTCTCAGTTGCAGTGACAGCGCAGAGTGAGCCACCTGCTCTCCACCCAAGAACTGCCCTAACTAAAACTCAGCCTCCCTATCAGGTCTGCACCTGCTAGCTCCCAGAGCCATGCTGGGGACTGGGTGCATTAACGAACGTCAGCAACCCGCACACAGTAGGTCCTCGGCTCAGGGCACCCTTCCCCTCCGGCTCTTCTTCCTCTGCCCTGCAAACCTCAAGCCTGTGTTTGTGACTCCCAAGGGGCGAAGCCAGATATGGCAAGTTCTACACACCCGGCCAAGTCCTTTCTCCTTTCTACATCTTGGGGACAAGTGTCCACATGTGCTGAGGATGGCAAGCCCAGGCCGGCCAGAGCGCCTGATGCACCGTGTGTGCTGGGGCACAGCCTGGCTGGGAGCCGCCGGACTGATGCTCCTGTTGGCACCGTGCTGGGGCCAGGCCTGACCCCGGGATCCTCCTTTCAGTCAATGCAGCTTCTCACAGGCATCAGGCGCTGCATTCTGGGACTGGTGGGGTGGGGAGGGGCAGGGGGAGACAAAGGCCTGTGGGACAGTGGCCCTGGGCCCCCCGCGGGAGACCATCTGAAGGGGCCAGCCCGGTTTCTAACAATAGCCTCCGTGCCTGTAACAAGCTCACACCTCCTGGCAGGCAGGGACAGGCTCGGCTGGGAGAGGCCAGGCTAGAGGGATGAGGCTGACCTAGATTGCCTGGAAGCCAGGGAGGGAGGTAGAGTCCGTCCCCTGAGGCAGCTGCCTACACCTGCCCTAGACCACCCAACACTTAGGAAAGCGGGCGTGGCTGGGGCTAAACTCCCCTGGGAGGAACCAGGCAGGCTCTGGTCCCTTGAGGGAGGCAGAGCCCTTGGCCTCTCCAAGCTGGGCCCCAGTGGTTTGGATCTGGGCACATGGTGAAGCCAAGGCAAGAAGAAACCCTGGCTACAGGACATGGAGATGGGGAGCCCCAGCCAATCCCAGGGGTCCAGTGGGAGTCCTTAGTCGGGCACCATGCCCAGCAGAAGCCAGCTCCAGGCAATTTCCTCCGCAGCTGCTAGGAGAGATAAGGTGAGGCAGGTGAGAGCCATCCATCTGGTCTCCTGGGATCCCCGCCCCGCCCCCCTCTCCTGCCTCTGAGCAGCTGGTTCAGAGGCCTCACCAAAGACCTCCTGGGGCCTCTGCCTCCCCCAGGGAAAGGCTGGGGACCACAGCCTGCCTCCGCAGCTATGGGTAATCAGGCAGAGTGGCTGGACCGAACCACTGACCACTCCGCCGACTCCCAGCAGGCACCAGGGCCTCTCCCACACCCTCGAGAGAACAGCAGGGTTACCCGCCTCTCCGGGCTTCCTGCCAGCAACATTTGTTTGAGAAGAAAGGCCAATGAATCAACGTTTGGTGACATCCTCACAGTGGACCAGGCATGGAGGCGGGGGGAGGGGGGCGGCGCTGCTCAGAGTCCCAGAGCATCCACTTGGGCCACATTTCTACCTGGGGAGCCTGGCCTGCCACCATGTGCCAGGAAGCAGCTTATCTCCTTGTGCCGGGGCAGCTCAGCCACTCCTCTCCCTGCCACCCGCCCCAACCCCAAAGGCTGTCACCCCTCCAGGGCCCGAGCCCAGACCCTCAAAGCTAATCTCTGCCCAAAGACTTCCCACAGGAGTCGCCACTCAGCCCATCACTCCCAACATCCCCCACTCCACTCCATCTGCCTTCTCAATTGCAACTGGGATTGTCTCACCCATCTGGCCCCCAGAGCATGCCCCCATGGGCAGAGCACGGACAGGTAGCCAGGATTTTAACTCGGGTCCAAGGGGAAGCCTGTGCAACTGTTCCACCCTGTCAGGCTGGGAACCTATCATGCAGCGAGGAGCCCCAAAGAGTAGCCGACTGGATCCCGCCCCAGTTCTGCCAGAGGACCGCTGCCATGTGACCTTGGGCAAGGCTCCATCCAGTCCCAGCACCACCACCGACTGTCAGCAGGAATAACGCAGATTTTCCAAGGCAGGCAGAATTTCATGCGGGGTGGTTCTGCTGCTGTGGATACAGGCATTCTTCCCCAGACACGTGCACTCACCACGCCTCTGACCTGAATCTGCCAGTGTGCCTCAACTGTCGGCCCTGGTGCTGCTGGCCGGGGTCCAGGCTGCTGCGATGGGAGTGGGGAGGGAGTGGCACTTCCATTCACTGGTATGGGGGGCAAAGGACCAGGAAACCAATAGTACAGCCACAATGCATCAGAAACAAAGCCTGAGGGCTGGCACAATGGCTCAACTGGCTAATCTATCCCTAAGCACCAGCATCCCATAAGGGCACCAGTTCATTTCCTGGCTTCTCCACTTCCCATCCAGCTCCCTGCTTATGGACTTGGAAAACAGTCGAGGACGGCCCAAAGCTTTGGGACCCTGCACCCGTGTGGGAGACCCAGATGAAGCCCCTGGCTCCTGGCTTTGGATTGCCTTAGTTCCGTTGTGGCTACTTCAGAAATGAACCAGTGGACGGAAGATCTTCCTCTCTGTATTTCTTCCTCTGTCTTTCTTTCTCTCTGTAAATATGCCTTTCCAATAAAATAATAAATCTTTTTGAGAAAAAGAAAATAAATCTGAAAAAAAAAATTGAAGAAAGCTGGACACATGGTCCGACCCCCACCCTCAGCCACAGTTCCCTGAGTTCAAAGAGGGTTGTCCCAGGAACACCTCCCAACCTCGGGTACCCTGCTGCTGGCCACTGCCACCCAACTGTGTAACCTGGGCAGAAGGCAGACACAGACCCAAGCGTCCAGCAGAACACTCACTTGTCTCAGCCCCAGGCGTGGCCCCATGTCTGTCCTACAGTTGCTCAGGACAAGTCGGGCATTCCCAGCTTGTGCCAGCCCCCACCCTGCTCCTGGTGGTGCGTCATTCCTGTGGCTCAGAGATCCAAGATCCCTGGCACTTTCTGCCAGGCTCCTAGCACCGCGTGGCCAGGCAGCAGTCAGCCACCATCTGCATGCACAAGCTACTCCTACAGCAGACTTCAAGCTGCGAGTGCCCTCAGCCACAGACTGACAGGCAAGGGGGCACAAAGATGCCAACCCCACGGCCCTAGCTGGGACAACTCCAAGGGGTGGCACGCACAAGCCAGAGTCACCCCAGAGGACACAGCTGGATAGCCCACCTGTGCCCTTTCCTTCCCCTGCCTAGATTTTTCTGGGAGTGTGTCTCACCCATCAATGACCCGCTTCCCCCCAAAAAAGAAAAAGACACTACTTTCCTGCAGATCCTCATCGCGCGCTCTGCTCCAGAAAAACTCAACCCAGGACAATTGCCAACAGAAACCAGATTGTTGCTTTTCATGAACAAGCTGTAGACTGAGCAGTAACCCTTGGCTCACTCCCACTTGACAGTACCTGGCTGCGCCTCAGCAGGGACTGCCTGGTACGTACTGAAATATCTTCCCAGGGCAGGTTAAGTCTGTGTTGCCAGCATCTCATGTGGGTACCAGTTTGAGTCCTGGCAGCTCCACTTCCCATCCAGCTCCCTGCTTGTGGCTTGGGAAAGCAGTTGAGGACGGCCCAAAGCCTTGGAACCCTGCACCCACATGTGGGAGACCCAGAAGAGGCTCCTGGCTCATAGCTTCACTTGCAGCTATTGCAGTGTAAAATCAGTGGAAACAAGATTCCCTCTCTAACTCTGCCTTTCAAATACAAATAAATTAATTTAAAAAATACATATCTTCTCCACTTCTGGTAAGTCTACCACACTTCCTGCTGCTCCCTTCCCCCGCCCTTGCCTTCCCCAACCAGCCCCTTCCTCCCGTTTATGCTCCCTGCCCAGCCTCAGCAGGCTGGGTGTCAGCACCCCGACAAAGCCCAGCAGTCCAACACAGGGAAAGCTCTGGGGGCACCTGGCTCCACAGTCCAGGATCACCTGTGACCTGGCATGACTCAGTCTTTCTGTGTCTGACACCTCCACAGTTATCACACACATCCATGAGCTCCTCGTGGAAGGCTCCCCGTGCAACCTCTAGCCCACAAGAGGTGAAGAAATGGCTACTGTGTGTCCTCTCACAGCAGGTGTGCCCTCTACAACCCTAAAGCCCGCAGCATGAAGCTCTCCGAGATGACTCGGCGGGGAGGCCAGGCCTGTCGGCTCACCTCTTCCCACTGGTGGATGTAGCGGATGAGCCTCGAGAGTCGCAGCAGGCGCAAGAGGCTGAGGATCTTGGTGAAACGGACGATGCGCAGGGCGCGGGCGGTCTTGTAGACCTCGGAGTCGATGCGCGTCTCCACGATGAGGAAGATATAGTCCACGGGGATGGAGGAGATGAAGTCCACCACAAACCAGCTCTTGAGGTACTTCATCTTGATGCGCTGTGGGTCCAGGATGATGTCCGTGTTGTCCTCCACCACGATGCCTGTGCGGAAGTTGAGGACCAGGTCGATGAGGAAGAAGGTGTCGGACACCACATTGAAGACGATCCAGGGCGTGGTGTTCTCGTCCTTGAAGAAGGTGATACCCACGGGGATGATGATCAGGTTTCCCACCATCAGCAGCAGCATGGTCAGGTCCCAGTAGAACCTGCCGGAGACACAGTGGCGAGGATGGAAGGGGCTCAGTTGCAGGGAAGGGGTGGCATGGGTTACGGGGAGGGTTGCCGGTGTGTGTGGAGGGGTATGGGGATGACAGGGGCGGCTGGGACACTCAGGGAACAGGGTGAGGAGCATGGAGGCATGGGATGGCAGAACAAGATCACTCATTAGGAATCCCTCTGCCTGGCCCCTCCTCAAGTCCCCTCCTCTCCGTACGCCCACCGTTAGTCTTCCCCGAGCCATCAGCCAGGGCCTGACTCAGCCTCCCAGGCTGACGACATGATGGTCACAGGGAGCTAGAAATCTGGCAAGGGAGTGACAGGTGCAGACACAGCAGGTGCCCTGGGAGGCAGGGGATCCAGGCTGTACCCTGATTTCATCCCTGCCCTTCCTGCTCTGGGCTTTAATGCCCCAGCTGTGCCCGCCTCCCTCCCCAGAGGTTGGTCCCCTAACAGGTGTGTGGACGGCAAGCACAGCATTATTCTAATGCAGGGAGCGTTAATGGAAGGGGTTGTGGTGGGTAACTCAATGTAGTGGAGGGAGACCAGCCTCAGGCTGCCAGCTTCCTTTCGTCTAAGGCCTCCAATCACCTACAAGTCTTTCCAAAGACAGGCCAGAGTCAGCTGCAAAGTTGAGCTCCTGGGGAGTGGTCAGCCTCCTCCCACCATGGGGGTGCATGGAGTCAACACACAGGTCTAGCAAGAGAACTGTAGAGTAAGGAGAGAGCACAGGGGGACATAGGCCACCACCACCACACACCCCCAGAAGGTATGGCCAGTCATTGCCAGGGTCTCATACTGGCATCTTAGGGCCAACCCCTTCCCCCAAGAGCAGCTTGGGACTACAGCCTCACAGCCATGTTGAGTCAGCTACTACATGAGGCCAGCAGGAGGGAAGTGGGCACAGAGGGACGAGCCCCCTACACTGCCCCTGCCTGGAGAGTGGGCCATGAGATCACTCCCTGAGGGTGAGGAATTCTCAGCCAGGCAGAGAATGTGGCTAAGGAGAGGGCCCACCCCACTCAGGGTAGCCCACCCCATCTCAGGCAGCAGACCTACAGTACAGGGGCCAGGAGAGTGGGTAGCTTCCAGCAGCTCCTTGGAGGATCAAGTCCATCAGGGCATTGAGCTGGGACCTGATGGCGGGGGTGAGACCTCCTATTCTAAGACAGACACTGAGAGTTCACTCCAGCACCTTCTCTGTCCCAACAATTCCATGGGAGTTGGGAGACCCCAACCAAGGTGTAAGGACCCACTAATACCCCATGCCAGCTTGGGGACCCCAACCACTGCTGCCTTAACAGTCCTCCACCAAACACACAGCCTGCCTGTGGTGGTATTGCAGCCTTCTTGCGCTGCTCTCAAGCCATGCCCCTTCTCCTCCTGCCACAGGCAGATGCACACACTGAAATACCATGTTGGTAGATCCCCACCCACACAGACACGGCAGCTACTCATTCCCATTGAGACTCTTGGAACAGACAAAAGCCAGTGGCCTAGGCACAGGGCCGGGTATGCATGGAGCTGATAACACACTCAGGCCAGAGGAGCTTCTCCAAGGAACAGCATGGGTGCAGGTGGCAGAGAACGCTGACTCGGGTAGGCCTGCTACTCCAGTGGGCCCTCCATACTCGCTGGCTCTAGCTCCCTCAATTATAGACCAAATTCAAGATGATAATTAACAGGAGAATGTTCATATTTAGTGGTCTTCATAAAATCAAATTACACAAGGCAAAAATACCCATTTCTGTGCATGCCAACTAATTGTCCCAATCCAGACTTTCTGGATGTTCAAGGGTTCTTGGGGTGTTCTTGTGCCTGGGCTGGGCTGGGCTGGGATCAGCACACTGGCCTTCCCCCGGCCACCCCTACCCCAGAGCCTCCCAGGGTGATATAGAGGAGAGCAGAGCCCTGGGGGAGGGAGCAAGGGAGTAGGGGCTCTGGGGCCAAGCTGGTCTGTTATTGGCTAGAGTCCCTCACTTCCTTCAGCTTGCCCAGTCTCAGAGGACGTCTGGCCTCTGCCTCAGCTGTTCTAAATAGAAATCACCCAAAGCTACACATCTGCAGGCAGAAGAAAAGGGGGATGGTCAGAACTCCCAGCAAAAAGTCACAGCTGGGAGGGGGTAGCAGGAGGGGACAGGAGCCTTCACAGACCCAGGAGGGGGCCCACAATGCCCTCACTGGGGCAGGACCTGTTCTCCGTGTGGACACTCTGAGCACAGAATTCATGTCTGGTCAGAGGACAAGTCTAGGATGCAAGGACAGGCCGATCAGAAAGCATACAAGGAAGCTCCCATACAAGTGGACTCCCAGGCAGGGGTGACAAGGACAGTGCCAGGAAGCTGCCTGAGAGACAGGTGGAGGAGAACTTCAGCAACTAGCAAGGTCGGCAAAGCTGTATTCAGCACCATGGACAGCATCCACTGCTGCCACCAGCCAGGCTCACTGGACCCACAACCACCCCTTTATGGTTGCAGGCCCCAGCAGCCGTGGTTCTCCCGTGACTGAAAAAAAAAAAATTCCTGGCACCTCAGGACCCCAAACACTTGGCATTCTAAGTGGCACCTTTGTGCAGTCCATACTGCAGTTATCTGGGCCTCAGGCTGGTGCTGACCACACTGCTGTCACTGCCGTTCCCCGACAGTGACCTGTAGGCTCAGCAAGAGGCATTAGCCAAGGCTACATAACTAGCAGAGGAGGAGTGTGGGGGCTCCCGAGTCTAGCTCTTGGGGTCTTTTGAAGATCAGTGGGGTGCAAGACAGACTAGCCACTCTCTGCACATTTAGTCCACAGTGGGGTGGGGAGTCCTCCTCTGCTACCCAGGGACAAGAACAGATAGGCTGCAAGGGGACTCCTGGGGGAGCATTCTGTGGAGGCAGGGGCCTTCTGAGACTCCTGTGAGCTGGATCTCCATTGGAGATCAGCCAGGCATGGCTCACCTAACCCACAGAAGGGAAGCCAAGCCTATATCCTGCCCCAGCCCCCCGAGTAGCATCTACAACACCTCAAGCCAATGCCCTCTGCTTCCCTAGCACCTCATGGGTGCTGGAATCCATCGAGGGCAAATCCCAGCATACAGGTGGCACCTGCCGGTGGAAGCACTGGACAGCCAGATTCCCCATGGCCTCCCCAACCAGCCAAGGCCCCTTCCCTTGTCCATCCTGGGGCTCTCTATGTTAATGGGACGTCCTGGCTGGCAAGAGGACCCTACCAAGGGCTCCGGGCCTGTCCCCACCCACCCATCCCAGTCCAGAATGGTGCTTCCTATCTTCCCCCCATGGCAGCCCTCATAGCCTCCAGGCTGAGGGACTGTCCACAGAGGAAGGGCAGCCTCGAGAATGGCACATCTCTCACCTGCTCCTGCGGCACCAGGCTCTCACTCAGGGTGCTACTTCTGGGCCCCTGGGCCTGCTCTCCACCTGCTTGGGAAATGTGCCACCTGCAAGGCCACTGTTCTTGACATCTAAATGCTACTTGGCAATGTCCCTTCTAACGCTGAGTGGCATGGTCAGCATTTCAACCTCTCCCTTCCCTGGGGTGAGGTGGGCAGGAGGAGTTTAAACCTTCCTGGTCACTTCACTGCCCCGTCCTCCCTCCCTCCCACTCCTGCAGACCCCTCAATCATTGCCAGGTCTCTAGGACGCCTTTAGAATCTGCTCTGCCTCCCTGCTTCTCACTGGCCCCTGGCCTCCAACCCTTCCATCTCACATGATCTTCCCATGAAATCATGCTTTCCTTGTACCCTCACAGTGGCCTCTACTTGCCTGCACCCCAGGCCACCCCTTCTCACCCCTCCCTTCCCCTTCTCCATCACAGGAGCCAGCTAGACACCCAGCTCTCAACCGACACATGACCTGGGTCCTCCCCCTAAGAAGCAGTGCCCTTTGCAATCCCTTTCTGGTCAGCCACCTGGTCCAAAGTTACCAACCAGTCTGTGTTTTTGCCTCTATGAATGGAGGTCACATGTGGTCCCTTTTTTTAGGTGCCACCTTGTTCTCCTCCCAGCACCCTCTCCCTGCCAACAAACCAAATAGCTTCAGAATTCTCAGAGAAAGGGGCGGGAAGCCGGACTTTTCCCTCCACTTGTGATTCATCCCTCGGTTGCTGGGTCTAGCAGGGGAGGACCCGGAAGGGGGACGGGCAGCAGTTGACGTCTGCCAGGAGTTTGAGCATCTCACACTGATGTTCACAGGAGCCCTATGTGGTGGACACTCTTGACTGTGCCCATTCTTGCAACAGAGGAAGGAAAACTGAGGCATGAGAAGTTGAGAGCTTTGCGGGCTTCCCTTGATCAAGAATGTCAACCCAAACAACCTGATATTGCCCCCAGAGCCTACTCTGTAAGACCCCACAGAGCGGGGTGAGGGAGGGGATTCCCTTACACACAGTCCAGCTTTGCCCCTCTCCCACTCCCCTCCACAGCACCACATCAGTTTCCTGGCCTCTCCACCTCTTCCCACAAGAATGTGCTTCTCCCAGCCTTCAAACCTGCAGGCCAGAAGCAATAGCACCCTTTCCACCGCCTACCCCTCTGCAGCCACCACCTGTCTCCTGGGTCCTCTAGGCATCCTTCACCTGCAGTCCTCCTCCCAGACTCCTCTGCTGCTGGCCCTTAGGGACCCGGCTGATCATGGCACCATTCCACTCCAAGTCCTGACTTTTTCCAGGTGCCTTCCATCAGCCAGAGCAACAGCTGGCCCTTCGGGTGTCCTTGCTCCCCTCTGCCTCTCCTCTCCCACCCCTTCTGGGCCTCCTCTCGCCTCTCCAGCCTCTTATCTCCTGGCTGACTCACCACGCTCCCAGGGCTACATGACTCTGCCCACTTGGAAACCATACCTGACTCCTGTCCACCTGCCACCACCGCTGCATTTCTGGCCCCAGTGTCCCATAGCAACCTGGGCCTTGACGTATCTGGGCACCCAGCTTAACGGCTTCCTCCTGAACCCTGTGCTCCCGGAGTGCAGCAGTCCTGAAAGGAGCCCCTCCATTC